GGTAGTGCAGAGTGGAACTGGTCAATAGGGTAGTGCAGAGTGGAACTGATTAATAGAGTAGTGCAGAAAGGGAACTGATCAATAGGGTAGTGCAGAGTGGAACTGATTAATAGAGTAGTGCAGAGAGGAACTGATCAATAGGGTAGTGCAGGGTGGAACTGGTTAATAGAGTAGTGCAGAGAGGAACTGATCAATAGGGTAGTGCAGGGTGGAACTGGTTAATAGAGTAGTGCAGAGAGGAACTGATCAATAGGGTAGTGCAGGGTGGAACTGGTTAATAGCATAGTACAGGGTGGAACTGGTCAATAGGGTAATACAGGGTGGAACTGGTCAATAGGGTAATACAGGGTGGAACTGATCAATTGGGTATTAAAGGGTTAAACTGATCTACAGGGTAGAGCAGGGTGGAACTGATTAATAAGGTAGTGCAGGGTTGAATAAACAGGGCAGACTAGAAAAACTGAGTAGGACGGGATAGTAAGATGCTGAGTCGAGGGAAGAAGATAAGGAATAACGAAGATGTAGGTAGGAAAACGAGATGTAATAAAGGAGAAGTAAGAAGGAAGAAGAGTAGGAATAAAGGCGAAGTAAAGAGGAAGAAGCGGAGGAATAAAGAAGAGCAGCAATAAAGAAGAATAAGGAAGAAAGAAGAGAGGGAGACGAGGAATGAAACAGAAGTAGGAATGAAGAAAAAAAAGAATAAAGAAGAGGTAGGAATGAAGAAGAGCAGAAATAAAGGAGAAATACGAAGAAAGAAGAGAAGGAATAAAGAAGAAGTAGGAAAGAAAACGAGATAAAAAAGGCGAAGTAGGAAGGAAGAAAAAAGCAGAGATAAAGGAGAACTAGAAAGGAAGAAGAGCAGAAATAAAGAAGAAGTAGGAAGAAAGAAGAGAAGGAATAAAGAAGAAGTGGGAAGGAAAACGAGATGAAATAAAGGCGAAGTAGAAAGGAAGAAAAGAGCAGAGATAAAGGAGAACTAGATAGGAAGAAGAGCAGAAATAAAGGAAAAGTAGGAAGGAAGAAGAGCAGGAATAAAGGTGAAGTAGGAAGGAAGAAAAGCAGGAATAAAGGTGAAGTAGGAAGGGAGAAGAAAGGAATAAATAAGAATAAATAAAGAAAAAAAGGAATAAAGAAGTAGTAGGAAGGAAGAAGATGAGGAATAAAGTAGAAGTAGGAAGGGAGAAGATGAGGAATAAAGTAGAAGTAGGAAGGGAGAAGATAAGGAATAAAGTAGAAGTAGGAAGGATAAACAAGGGCAATGCATGAATTAACTTCCTTCTGACCCAATCTCCACCGTTATATTATCTATAGGATTGTTTTTATATCCTACCACACGTTAACTCCAGGCTAAAGAACCGATTAAGCTTAATATTTACTGCCTAGACCATGGTTTGCTTGTATGCATGTGCAGGGTCTGATATTGCCTAAACCCAGAACTATATTAGCTGCCTGTTCTCACCCTAGGGCAAATTTTATAATAAACACACCGTCATGACTGGACAATTCATTTTCAGTCTTTTTAATAAAGCGTATAAAACATTAAGGTTTGATTTTGCTTTCATTTTCTCAGAACTGAAATCAAAGAACTTTTTTAAACCTATATGATAAAGCTCTTCGCTTTTATAATACAGGTTTACCCACAAAGGATGAGACTGTAAAGACGACTTGAAACTCTTAAAGTATGACGATAATTAATGATTTCGCAAAGAAAGCATCAATTTAACAGCTCTAGAGAATCGCTAAGATTAAAAAACAAACATTTTAAAAATCCTACAGACGGCAAATCTGGCTGAACTTTTTCTAGGGACCCCATATATACCCTGGGGGAAACGTAGGCTAATAAAATTCTATTTTCTAGGGACCCCATATATACCCTGGGGGAAACATAGGCTAATAAAATTCTATTTTTTCTAGGGACCCCATATATACCCTGGGGGAAACGTAGGCTAATAAAATTCTATTTTTTCTTTCTTTCAAAATTCGATTTTTTATTTCACGGGCAACGCCGGGCACTTAGCATATATGTATTTGTATATTTGTGTATATATATATATATTTTCTATATCTGGCCAAACGGCTAGACCATATTGACTTGACATTGTTTGAGAGTACCCTAATATATAGGCTAAACGAAAAGATTTTTTTTTAATCGATTTTTCTCAAATGAATTTTTTTTCAATTTTCAAAATTTTTTTCTTTCAGTTTTACTTTCAACGCCGGGTATTTCTGCTTGTGTTATTTGAAAATAGACGAAAATTATGATTTTATGATTAAATTAACTTTATACTTTTAATTATTTAATTTCTTGTATGACTTGGTGCTGGGTTTAACTAATGAACATTGAATGAAAAGGTCTACAGATGTAATTATTACTATTAATATCATCTAGTTATTTACACTTATTTCATTTCCTTTTCTCAATAATTAAAACCAAAAAGGTGAAATGAAAGGTTTCAACTATCATATCCTTTAATCTGTTAAACTCTTAAACTCGTTAATATCGTCTTTTTAAACATTGCATGATCTAGGGATGTTAACGTTTTCAATTTTTTGAAAAACAATCGTTTCGTAATGAAAACGACGACGAAAAATCGACAACGAAGCGATCGTTTTTTATGGTCGTTTCTATAAAACTCGTCGTTTAACAACGACCCTTTGTTAACGATCGTTAACGACGAACCTTTGTTAACGATCATTTACGACGACTCTTCGTTAATGATCGTTAAAAACGACCCATCGTTAACGACGACCCTTTGTTAACGATCGTAAACGAAGAGAGAAAACCGACATGAGGGGCATCTGTACTAAAAAATTGTGTAGTTTTTAAGAAAATATCAAAAAGTTTTAGCTCCCCCACAACTGTTTAACTTCATGTAAGACACCATTCAATAAAGTTGCATGTAATTTTTTTTCAAGTGTTCGCTTAATGGAACTGTAATTTCAAGGATTCTCTTTATTAGAAGAGTGGAATGCCAGATTCATAGATTCTTTTAAATTTTAGTTAATCTTTAAAAAGTGACTTAAGTATTTCTGCTTCAGAAACAATATGGAGTAAATTGTCAGAATTAAGTACTTCTTTTCCATCTAGTAAACAGACGATAACTTCAACCAGATAAATGTCCAGTGCATGGTGCCTTTGTAAATCGGGTCCGCTCCTTCTTGAAATTACAACTGAAAGGAACAATTCGATCGTTAATCCATCAGGAATCATTCTGAAAAAAATATTAACACGAAAATGTGATTATATCTATTTTTTTCATATAATTAAATTTTTGTTTGTTCAAAGAATTTTAACTAGTGAGGATCGTCATGATAGACGTGAAACATTATGTTTAGTATAATTCTTGTTTAATAAACATTGTGAAGTTAAAAACTGAAATAATAAATTTTTTAAATGTTTATTGAGTATGTTTTGCCTCTAAATATATCTGTTAGATGAAGTACCCTAGTGATGTTGGATTAACCTTAATATCGTTATTAGGAAATTGATAATATACATTTAGATGATAAATTTATATACATGATTGTAATAATAACACGCCCTTGATCGTATTCTGTCCATCCTCCTCTATCTATGTACATTCTTAAATTTATATTTCAAGGTCCTCTGCCTTCAATCATTCTATTCATTTTAAGCCAAATCCAAGAATTACGCAATTTAATCGTATTTGCGTAATTATGCATTATATACTCGGCCGGGATTACTCTTTCAGTGAATAAACGCTACTTAAATATTGCGATGTTATTCTTAGGAAACCTGGCCAGAATCTGTAAATAACGTGACCATAAATAAATGTAACAATTTACAGTATATTTCACAACCAACTCTTTCTTGTAAAAGTTGATCAGAATTTCTCTTGTCAAAAATAACAAAAAATATTCAAAAAGAATAAGAAATTAAGGTTAGAAACTTAGAGTTCAAAATTTATGAAGTATTTCAAGAGAAGATATTGAAAGATAAGTAAACTGAAGATGAACGGTTAAAGAAGAAAAATGAATTGAAACATTTCGTAGAACTTAAAGAAACTCGTGTCACCCTCAGAGTTGTCTGCATGATTCACAACGGTACCTTTAACATCTTTATCTGAACAACGATGAGAAAGATATTATCTAAAATATGTTGAATTCTGTTAATTTTATTTGTATAGTTTGAGAAACCACAACTCAAGACCATCAATTTTCATAATAGCGCTTTAAGCATAAAACTAAGAATGATCGGAATATTTCTAGATCTTGACATAATTAGAAAGATGTCAATTTAAACATCTACATTTACTTCCCCATATTACAATCTGAACACCATCTACATCTATATTTGGGCGTAAAACAGGAAAATTATGGAGATTTTGTAGTTATAGACATGTAATCAGGGTGTATTCAGAAATTTGTCCAGTCATAAACATCTACTTTTACATTCAACGGGACTATATTCCCACAGTCATAGTTGGTGACAAAATATTCGAAAAGCCCCCCCCCTCCCCTGTGTGTAAGTGTACACCCCTGCAGCTAAGAATCCTCATATGGATATTTCAGATATCCATATCTATCCGTATTCGTACTTTTAGTCTTGTTCAATACTTCAATTGCAACATAATCTAAATTTACAAGATATACCTGAATACCGTTACACAATAAGAAGATACAATCTGTCATTATACGATGCAGTTTATTGATAATTATATAAACCATGTTCATCTTCTTATTCATTCAATCATGAAGTTTAAAATTTGCATAAATATAACAATGTTCAACATTGAATAATATCATTTTTATTTCCGAAATAACTCAGAACTGGAATTATTGTCTCATTTTACAAAAATCTATCTTTTTTTATCAAATCATGTCAAACTTAATCAAAATGCACACACGAATGGAATCTTAAATGTTTACAATTATAACTCCTTTAAGAAGATCTACTAATAAATTTTTGATAATATAGCGTGTGCGTAAAATAGAAATCGTAGCAGTAATTTTTCTTTAAAATTGACCTTTATAATGATCAATTTCCTTAAAACAGTGCTATAAGGAATATATTTATCGTTTTTAAATGTTAAATTAAAGCTGTATTATTGTAAAAATGTTAAATTAAAGCTGTATTATTGTATAAATGTTAAATTAAAGCTGTATTATGGTGTATAAATGTTAAATTAAAGCTGTATTATGGTGAACAAATGTTAAATTAAAGCTGTATTATGGTGAACAAATGTTAAATTAAAGTTGTATTATAGTGTATAAATGTTAAATTAAAGTTGTATTATAGTGCATAAATTTTAAATTAAAGCTGTATTATAGTGTATAAATGTTAAATTAAAGTTGTATTAAATTGTGTTTAAATGTTAAATTAAAGCTGTATTATGGTGAATAAATGTTAAATTAAAGCTGTATTATTGTGCATAAATGTTAAATTAAAGCTGTATTATTGTGAATAAATGTTAAATTAAAGCTGTATTATAGTGTATAAATGATAAATTAAAGCTGTATTATTGTGTATAAATGTTAAATTAAAGCTGTATTGTAGTGTATAAATGTCAAATTAAAGTTGTAGTATAGTGTATAAATGTTAAATTAAAGATGTATTATAGTGTATAAATGTTAAATTAAAGTTGTATTATTGTGCATAAATGTTAAATTAAAGTTGTATCATTGTGCATAAATGTTAAATTAAAGTTGTATTATTGTTTATGAATGTTAAATTAAAGCTGTATTATAGTGTATAAATGTTAAATTAAAGCTGTATTATAGTGATAAATGTTAAATTAAAGCTGTATTATAGTGAATAAATGTTAAATTAAAGTTGTATTATAGTGTATAAATGTTAAATTAAAGCTGTGTTATAGTGTATAAATGTTAAATTAAAGCTGTATTATTGTATAAATGTTAAATTAAAGTTGTATCATAGTGTATAAATATTAAATTAAAGTTGTATTATAGTGTATAAATGTTAAATTAAAGCTGTATTATAGTGTATAAATGTTAAATTAAAGAACATTTGCTAAGCAATTTAAGTTTTTTTCTCCTGGTAATTTATGAAATTCGTATTTATTCAATCTTGATGAAAATAAAATTGAAATTAACTATTATTAATAATCTTTTTTTGTTTTAAAGCTTGTTATATTTTTGTGATGCTTCTTTCAAATTACACCAAGAAAACTAAAAAATCGTTAAAATACATCAGAACACGAATTTGCATTCTGCGTCAATTAGTCACTTTTTACGAGGAAAATACGTGTAATCATTATTTGCATTTGTATCTATCTATCCCTATCTTTTTCGGAAGTAAAATTTCCTTTTTTAACCTTGATGTTACCTAACAAAACAAGATTCTTGATTAGATTTAGTTTTTAGTTTTATATTGAACTTGGTACAGTGATTTTACCAATATTTTCTTCATCAAACTCTCATCCAACCTTTATTCATCCATCCTTTTTTTATCCAACCTTTATTTATCCAACCATTCATCCAATCCTTCTTCGTCTAGTCCTTGTCCAACTTATCTTCATTCATCCAAGAATTTCCATTCATTCAATCCTTCTTTATTAAATTATCTTTCATCCAACTCTCATCCAACCTTCAATTATCCTACAAATTGTCATTTATCCGATCATCATTCATCAAATCTTCCTTTATCCAAGAATTTTCATTTATTTTATACTTTTTGGTTTAATTATCATTCAATCCAACTTTCATCAAACCTTCAATTATCTAACAAATTGTCAATCATCCAATCCTTAATTCCTCCAGGAGTTTGTATTCATAAAATCCTTCTTTAATCAATTATCTTTCATCCAACTCTCATCCAACCCTCATCAATATAATCTCAATTCAGTCAAAATTCATCCTCTTTCTTTCTTCACTCAAATTCATCAAACTTGTATTCATCTTTATTATTCTGTATTCGACTTTTTTAATTAACATTAAGTCAACCAACATCATAACTTCATCCAATCTTTCTTCTCCTAGCTCTCATCATCGAAACATAATTCATCCAAACCTGATCATTCCTAAGCATGATCTTACCTTTATTTCAATTTTAATTTATGTTCATTTATTTTCATTCATCCTTCAACCATACAATCCTAATTCATCCAATCCTTATTCATCCAACCTTCATTCATTTAATCCTTCTTCATCCGACGTTCATTTATCCTATCCTTATTCATCAAGCTGACATTCATCTTATTCTTAAACATTCAACTTCAATCCAATCATCTTTACTTATACAATCTTTCTACCAATCTTAATTCATTAAATCCACACTTCTCCTTCCAATAAACACCTTTCATTACTCCAATTCAAGTTCCTTAATCCCCAATCCAAACATCATGCAATTCCTTATCATCCAATCCTCATTAAGCAAGCATTTATTTATCCAACCAACATTCTTCCTTCCTACCTTCCTCATCCAACCCTCATCCAACCATCCGTCAATTATCCAATCCTTCATCATTAAACCCTAATTCATTTAATCCTCATCCAACCAACCGTCAATTATCCAACTTTTCATCATTAAATCCTTTTTCATCCAACCCTTATCAAACCAACCGCCACTTTAAACCCTTTCATCCAATCCTCATCCAATCAACCATCACTCATACAATCCTTCATCATTAAGCCCTCAATCATCCAATCCTTATCAACCTTCTTTCATCAAATCCTTTTTCATCCTCCAGTGTAGATTTTCTGCTAGGCGTACATTCTCTTTAAGATAGACCTACATCTGATAGCTTTGAGAGCTTTATACCCTCATCACCTTTAATTAAAAAGTAACTTCCTTTCAGAAAGTTTAATTAAAAATGGCGCTCCACATATTTTTAGTTTTTCAAGTATTTACTGCAGGAAGGAGTTATAAAAGATTGGAATTTACAAAACAACTCAACTTTCAAAATTCTTAACCTTTATAATTAAAAAAACAACAACATTTAGCACTAGTCCAAAGTAGGATTTAAAGATAAATTCTATTGTACAAAATATCTAACCTTTCATGGTTCTACCAAGTACCTTAGATTAATAATAACTGAAAAAATAGACATAAAATATAATCCTGCAAAGCTCTAAAAATGGTAGATATCACGGGAAATAAGCATTGAAAATATTATCTTGAGCGTAAAACGATTAAAAATGATCAAAAATTTTGCTTTTTCTGTTTCGTTTTGTCATTTTTTGAGTAAATTATACAAGCTAGAAAATACTACAAGAGTGAAAAACATACCAGCCTTATTGCAGAATCCAACCCTATGTTTTATTTCTTCAGTTTAGAACTTTAAATGGTGTTTTTATGAGCAATTGACAAAAAACAGGATTACGGAATTATTAAAAGAGTATTTGTATAAGAAAACAAGGGCAACACCAATACTCAATTATCTTTTAAGGCTTTACACCAAATATTTCTTTCTCTTCATGAATCTGTTACCTAAGGTATCTGGGTGAACTCTGAAAGGTTAGATTTTTTGTACAATTGTATTTATCTTAAAAACCTACATTTGACTAGTAGTAGATGAGATCGAGAGATAATATTTGTCTTTTTCTTATCTAGACGAGTAAACGCTGCGTATATGGAAGACGATTTATAATCGTCACAAGCCATTCCCACAATGGAAGGTGCCGTGACAAACTCCTGAAAGACAAACTCCTGAAAGACAAACTCCGGAAAGACAAACTCCGGAAAGACAAACTCCGGAAAGACAAACTCCTGAAAGACAAACTCCTGACGAGACAAACTCCTGACGAGACAAACTCCTGAAAGACAAACTCCTGAAATTATGAAATTTTTCTCTGAATGAAATTGGATAAAATTCATAAACTTTAGGAGGAAAAATCCGCAAATATCCTAGAAAAAATTCTCAATCTTTAGTAATTTGAATATGCTTCTAGCAGCAAAGTATTACAATGATCAGAAACACCATGAAATTTATTATAATTTATTTTTTATTATTTAGGGTTAGGTTAGGTTAAGACACTTTCTGGGCCGAGCGCTGTGGCTAGGACAGGCTAGGGGGCCGAGCGCTGCGGCCATGGGTTAGGTTAGTTAAGACACTTTCTGGGCCGAGCGCTGCGGCTAGAACAGGCTAGGGGCCGAGCGCTGCGGTCATGGGTTAAGTTAAGTGTTGACACTTTCTGGGCCGAGCGCTGCGGCTAGATTAAATATAAATCGTGAAACATTTTTTCAAATTTGATATTTTGGAGTTTGTATTTCAGAATTTTTTATTTTCAGGAGTTTGTCTCGTCAGGAGTTTGTCTCGTCAGGAGTTTGTCTCGTCAGGAGTTTGTCTCGTCAGGAGTTTGTCTTTCAGGAGTTTGTCTTTTCCGGATTTTGTCTTTCCGGAGTTTGTCTTTCAGGAGTTTGTCTTTCCGGAGTTTGTCACGGCGCCACAATGGAACCCATAATGTGTGGAATAGGGACGCGACTGTTTTGATAGTTCAATGCACATCAAGCACAGATATTGCTCAATTATGCAGTGACCACGGACCAAGTTTACTCACTTAGTTAATTTCTAAGCTCTGGCTAAACTATTTGCTGTACAACATAAAATATCCATAAAAAATACAAAATTGTCGTCTTCCTATTTTATTGTTTTATGAGTCCCACTGTTATTAGGACACTCTGTATTTGCATTTTCATGTTTTTTTTGAATCCCTCTTGCAGCAACAATTATGTCGTAAAATTAAAGAAATGTTGTAAACTTTATTGAATTTGAGTAAAATATTTCGGTATACCAGTATAGAACTAGTTTTAAAGTGTAACCCTTTTAGGATAAAGTATAAAAAGGCAATTTATTAAAAAATTCACAAAAAGTATGTTTTTAAAGGGACTGTAAAGGAAAAATGAAAAAATCTTATGTTCCTGTCTCGAAAAACTTATATACAACTGTGTCAAATATATACGAAAATCTATAAAGTATATTGTCTTATATTTTTCTAATATATCTATCTCCTTACAGTTAACATCGGATCCATCTTGACTAAACAAACCTTTAGTTCAGTGCAAGTCAAACCAAACTATAGACAGGGGAGATGTAAGTATTCTATCATCAGGCCTATAGCAAACCAAACTATAGACAGGGGATAGGTAATTTTTTTATCATCAGACCTATAGGAAACCAAACTATAGAAAGGAGTAATGAAAGTATTTGATCTTCTGACCTATAGGAGACCAAACTATAGACAGGGGAGGTGTAAGTATCTGATCATCTGGCCTATAGCAAACCAAACTATAGACAGGAGTAATGAAAGTATTTGATCTTCTGACCTATAGGAGACCAAACTATAGACAGGGGAGATGTAAGTATCTGATCATCTGGCCTATAGAAAACCAAACTATAGACAAGGGAGATGTAAGTATCTGATCATCAGACCTATAGCAAACCAAACTATAGACAGGGGAGATGTAAGTATTCTATCATCTGGCCTATAGCAAACCAAACTATAGACAAGGGAGATGTAAGTATCTGATCATCAGACCTTTAGCAAACCAAACTATAGACAAGAGAAATGTAAGTATTCCATCATCTGACCTTTTCTGGTATACAATTACTGACCTTGTATGACCTTTCCTGTCATTTATTTACTGACCTTGTATATGATCGTTCCTGGTATTAAGTTACTGACCTTATATACCCTTTCCTGGCATATAATTATTTATCCTTTCCCGGCAAAATATTACTGATCTTAAATGACCTTTCTCTGTGTCAGTCTGGCATAGCATTATTGACCTTGTATGACCTTTCCTGGCATACTATTTCTGACCTTGTATCACCTTTCAGAACATGACATTACTGACCTTAAATGACTTTTCCTGGCATAATGTTACAAACCTTAAATGACCTTTCCTAATATAAAATTACTACCTTTCCGGGCATATAATTACTAACCTTTCATGGCATAAAATTGCTGACCTTGTATGACCCTTCATGGCATAAAATTTCTGACCTTGAATGTCTTATATTAACATTAAATTACTGAACTTGAATGACCTTTTCTTGAATAAAATTACTGACATTGTATGACCTTTACTGGCATAAAACTGCTGACCTTGAATGACTTATCCCAACATAAAATTTCTGAACTTGAATGATCTTTCCTAACATAAAAATACTGACATTAAATGACCTTTACTGGCAACTGACCTTGAAATACCTTTTTCTGTGTCTCATCCTTGTGGATTACCCTTTTTCTAACTTTTCGTGACCTTTCAGTTTTTGATTTTGGACTGTTTACAATGGTTCGTTTTGACAATGGTCCTTGTAACGCTACTGAAACTGAGACTGGTATCTGCTACACACATGAACAGTGTGATGAAAAAGGTATTCATTTCAATTAAGTTAATTGATCATTAATCAATTAATAATAAATTAATGTTATATGCAAACTAATTAATCTATAAAATAATAAATTAACCATATTTTTTTTTATAAATCAATCAATTAAAGATTTATTAATATAATCTATTTTTCAATCAATCAATAACGATTTAATTGATGAACTTACAAATCCAATTATGTTTTAAATCAATTGAAAAATAATCGATTAAGACGTTATCAAATGATAATAATTCATTAATTTATTCATCGTTTAGGAGGTATCCAGACTCAATCTTGTGCTGCGGGGTTTGGAGTTTGCTGTCTTTGTAAGCTACTTATTGATATAATTTTTTACCTTTTTACATAAATATTACGGATGACTCTATCTAAATCATGTTTCATTGCTGAAATATATTAGATTTTATTCTGAGAAGACAAGGAATGCAAAAAGTCAATTTTATATTTTAAAAAAACATCTTTTTTAGCGATTTATTAGTAAAACTTTTATAAAAGAGTTTGTTTTATAAAAGATCAATGTTCATTCATTATGCAAAACCCCCTTCCAATCCCTTCCACGCTATTTAGCATAATGCATAGTCCTTCGGTAAAGTTAAACTGCCTGAATGCCTACTTTCAATCTGTCATGAAAATCTCTGTTCTGACATAAGTTTAATTTTTTTGATGTTGAAGTTTAAGAAATTCCACGGGCAATGCCAGGGACTTCAACAAAAACATATTTTAATATATTCCTTAAACTGGCGAGTACCTATTACTGTGAATGATAACATAAACCTGGCCCCATGCTGGGTACTCCAGCTTGTGTTCTTTGTAAAATAAAATTCTTGAAAAGAGACAAAAGTTTGTCCGTCATCATATTCGGCTTCAGTTCGAGGCAGCTGCCAAGAATACATGTTTTATTCGGTTTCAGTTCGAGGCAGTTGTTATGATCGAGTGGCAGAGGCCAAAACTTACTTCTCTAATCCAAGCTGGCCCCTGGCGGATACATCCAACTCATTCTGTACATACAGTCTCGTTGTATCCGACCCAGATGTTTGTCAAATCAGGTTCAATAAAAATATTAAATTCTGCCTTCAATCGTTGAACAAGGTGTTTTTTTTCGAAGGGTGTAATTTCAAATTCTTATAGAGGCATGTCTGATTTACAACGAGACCGTTTAAACATTTGTCAGTGAGTGAGGTTAAATTTTAGATGAAAAGAGAAAAGTTCGTTATCCTTGATCAGTCTAATGTTTAAGGGTACAACTGTTGTGAATTTGAAACGCCACTTTAAAAATAAAAGTTAACTTGTAGTTACGCCTACAGTCCAGCTTTGAAAGTTCACACTTTTCAATTCAGAAATTCACATTTGTCAAATCTTATAAATAAATAACTAAATAAATAGTAAAAAGCATAAGACAACTTGCGCGTTTATTTAAGAAAAGTTTTGTTATTCTTTGGTACTAATGCAAGGAAAGTTAATTGGGGTCGCGTATACTTGATGCGTTTTCTCTGGGCGGAATTTGTAAACAAGAATAGATGCATCAGATTTCGTCCCGTATCCGAGGAGGAGAAAAGCATTTAATTTTGATAATTTTGAAAATTCACATTATAGTTTCCTATGACCAGAATATTTGATAGAAATTGTTTACTTTTCCTCCCAAAGGCAGTACACTGCAGTACAAAAAATGCGCACACACACCTCTGAAATAACTTTCCTTGCATTAGTACCTTGGTCTAACGTTTCTTTAGTCGATCTCAGGTCAAACATGTTGAGCCGGGTCAACGTTTTCAAATCCTTATTTCAGACTTGATTTTGAACTTTTCGAGATGGCACCTCCTTCCCTGACACATTCACCAATAGGTAAGTGCTGTCTAAACTATTAATGGTAAGTAAACCATCGCCATATTTTTATATGTTTGTCAAAATCTAAAAGATTAAAGGAACTGTACAAATGTAATTTTTAGTTGTTACGAAAAACTTTATCTTGAACGAAAAATATTGTGGTGAAACCGTTATTTTTTTCTAAAACGGCTAATTAGTTTCGTTAACGGTTTAAAATTTAACGATTATAGCCGTTTGTTAATTGACTCTTCCGTTTATTTTCTAAAATCATTGTATCGTTAACGGAACTTTGCCCAGCCCTAGTTACAAAATTGGAAAACTGAATTAATCCAGATATATAACAAAAGGAGAATGTGATGGCGACCGACTAGCTATATTTACTTCCCAGCAGAACTTAGGACTTTATCAGGTAATACTATTTTGAATAGACTCCGACAATCTTTTATAAATTACGCAAATATATACATCGTTGAGAGGTACTTTAACCTAATTATATAAGAAACTGTAATAGTTGGATATAACCCCATTTTTTATAATACATTATTAGAGAACGAAAAAGTTTCAGTTTTCCAAACTCGTAATTTCTTTTTGAGTGGTGGAAATATTTGAACCTAAGCCAATTTTAGTAATTTTTATCAAATTAAAACTAGGACAAAATCCTAACTTTGTAAAACCATATTTTTAAAATTCCATGAAAAAAACGAGCATTGTGTTAAAAAGTAAAAAAAAATCAGACTCGCATTTTAATGCTGCGATTGTAAAAGACAATTTCTTTCCTATATTTTGAATATTTTCAGGGAAATACAGTTTGTGGAAACTTGACAGGAATAAAACTTTAAGAAAACTCTTAAAATATTTAACATATCTAATGTTTTAAATTAATCAATGATATTTTAAGTTTCAGTCGTATCTCTAGGTTATCTCTTTCCCTCTTTTCATTCAGAAATTTTAATTTCATCAATTTTCAATTTTTTAAAACTGATAGAAACATTTGATGTACAATATTAATTCACTGTTAACAACAATGAGTTTTCGTCATTAATTAAAATGTGTTAATCACTAAATCTTTGCAACCTCATGATATTTCAAGCTATGAAGTCGAATAGTCGAGTGTTGAGATTTGCTAAGGTACAGAGATGCGAAAATGTTTGTTTGTAGCAAGAACAGAGTTGTTTGCATTTGTAAGATATCGAAAGGTTTACTGGTTTGTTAGGTCAGCATATGTATATACCGGTCAATGCTACAGCAGCTGAGGATCCGGTCAGACTCTTCGCTTTTGTCGGTCAATCCGGGTCATCCTTCAGGTTAGTTTCATATTGTGTTATTTACCTTGAAAGTAGTTAAAAACCCTATTCAAAAGTTTAAACTTTACAAAATAAAGCAACTGAGTTCTTGCCACAAACTATGACTTTTAACCCCTTTATCTTTGCAACCCAATGTCGTAGACCTTTGATATTTCAAACTATTAATTATGTAACATCAAATAATGCAAGTTTGAAAATCAAAGGATTAAATATTGATATTGGGATTAGAAAATTTGAGTTTATTGAAACAACTCAGTTCATTTTGTCATGATTAATTGAAAAAATTGCTGGAAAGTTACATTAAAAATGGTTTTATTCATAAAAGAAGTCTCTGTGGTATGCATATACATCTACGAAGTTTAGGGTTCCATATATTTATATTTTTTCATTTTTGAAAAAAATGTTTTTAAACATCAGCAGATTTTTCCTGTTTTATAATTTTTACATTTTGTCTTAATATTTAAACTATTAAACTTCTTCTTCAATAATATTATTTTACAGGTGGAATATAAAATCAAGTTTGATCGACTGCTCTAAAAACAACGATCTTCAAGGTTTGCAAAAAACGATTTTCTTAAAGGGACTTAAAGGAAAAATTAAAGGGGGTATAGGATGAAACCTGAGATTCTCAGGAGCTGATTGAGACCTATACGAGTATATGATGTCCTTTTAAATTTTAATAGATATAGTTGATAATATTATTTATACATACTGCACTTTCAATGGAGGGAGTTCTGGTCACGCAATATGGACGTATTTCCTACAAATATATGTTTTGGTATAATTTTCACACAATTTTATGTCCATTTCTCGAGACAGGAACATCATATAGATGTCTTATAGGTTTCGTTTAACTCCTGAGATTCTTAGGTTTAAGCCTATACCCCCTTTCATTTTTCATGTACAGTCCCTTTAAAGAGACTGTGCACATTGTTTTAAGTGATGTTACAGATAGAGAGTGACATATCCGACTCACATCGGTACCTTTAAAATCTTTATCTGCAGTTGCACTTCTTTAAAAGGTTTACGATTTTGAGTTTTTCCTGTGTCTCAGCTCCACAAATCCGTCATAGCTTCATAAACAATTTTACCTTATTAATTTTCAGATGAGAAACTTAGGCTTTCAAAAGCATTTTTGATCAGACAAAGGTTTCCAGTAGTGTGAATCGGACCATCCGCTCGATATAAAGAGAATCAGACACACCGCTCGATATAAAGAGAATCAGACCAACCGCTCGATATAAAGAGAATCAGACACACCGCTCGATATAAAGAGAATCGGACCAACCGCTCGATATAAAGAGAATCAGACACACCACTCGATATAAAGAGAATCGGACCAACCGCTCCATATAAAGAGAATCAGACCAAGCGCTCGATATAAAGAGAATCAGACCAACCGCTCGATATAAAGAGAATCAGACCAACCGCTCGATATAAAGAGAATCAGACCAACCGCTCGACATAAAGAGAATCAGACCAACTGCTCGATATAAAGAGAATCAGACCAACCACTTGATATAAAGAGAATCAGACCAACCGCTTGATATAAAGATAATCAGACCAACCGCTCGATTTAAAGAGAATCAGACCAACCGCTCAATATAAAGAGAATCAGACAAACCGCTCGATATAAAGAGAATCAGTCGAACCGCTCGATATAAAGATAATCAGACCAACTGCTCGATATAAAGAGAATCAGACCAACCGCTCGATATATAGAATCAGACCAACCACTCGATATAAAGAGAATCAGACGAACCGCTCCATATAAAAAGAATCAGACCAACCGCTCGATATAACGAGAATCAGACCAACCACTCGATATAAAGAGAATCAGACGAACCGCTCCATATAAAGAGAATCAGACCAACCGCTCGATATAAAGAGAATCAGACCAACCACTCGATATAAAGAGAATCACTTCAAACTTCGTCTTAGTCCCTTTAAAAATGCTTTGAACAAAAAACTTTTAGAACATTTTTTTCTTAGAATCAAATATTTATTCTTTTTAAAACGCTTAAAATCTTGATCAAATTATGCTTTTTTTAGCTCCTGACGGTTGTCTGCAATACTTTACGGAATCTAGTAAGTTTTTTGTAAACAACATAAAATATCCATAAATCATTTTAATGAATTTTGCTCACAAAAGGCTAGAGTAGAAAAGTAGAACGTGGAAAAAATTTTCAAAAACTGTTTGCTGTCATGTAAATGTAAAAGAAGATTATTTCAAAGCTTTTAAAAGTTTTTATGAAAACAATTAGAACTTGAAAACTGTGGTACAATTGTCGTTTTTGTTTTTTTCTTTTACGTAAGTAATGTTGCACATTGTAATTTTTGCATATAAGATATTTCTGAAAATGTTTGGGGTCTTTTTTTAAAAAAAGTTGAAATTTAAAAAAATAGAATTTCATTGTTACCCGTTTCCCACGGACCACAAAACTGTACATTAAATGATAAGATAATTAATAATGTCACATGCTAGCTGGAAGTATAGAAAGCTTGAACTATGGATCTGGAGCTGGAAGCCCTTATCTGGCTGGAACTCAATATTTTGCTTGTATTAAACGACAAACTGGATTTTGTGGAGTCAAGGTAAGAAAAGTGAATAGTTATCTGTATATATAAATAAATATATAAATAAATAAATACATGAAGTAGTAATCTTTTCTTTTACATGAATAGATTGTCTGTATGATCGAGCATGAACCTATTTACCGATACGCTTTAAATTTTGACAAAACAATTTTACTGTGAATTGGTTAATTTTAATAAGGAAGGTTTAGATTTCCAAGCATAGCTGAGTTCCCAAGCTTGTTTAAAAAATACATGAAAATAAGCACTATCACAAAGCAGCATTTTTAATATTTAATATTTGATGCTTGCTAAATATCTTTTCATAAAAGTAATGAAAGCAATTAAATGAAAAGATGAAACCATTTAAAAAAAAATTTTCTTGAAAAAAATTTCCTTATTTTAGATTATCTCAAGTTTAGGAGAGTTTATTATGAATAGTGACCTTGGTACCAACATTGTTCCACCAGGTTTTGTTTTAATTCACATTTATCTAAAGCTATGCTATGAAATAAAGGAATTGAGTCTTTTCAAAAAAGTCTTTTCTTTTTAATTCCTAAATATCTTTACAATCCGATGCTATAGACCTTAGATACATATTAAACTAAAATTTATTTTAGATCAAATATTTTAAGTTTGAAATATTGAAGGTTTACAACATAAGGTTGAACAAATATAGGAATTAGAAAATTGAGTTTGTGACAAAACTTAATTTCTTTCATATTAATTTATCGGAATAATCGATGCAAATTAATTTTACATGCTGTTTTTCTATTATAGGGGAGGGATATAATTGTGCATCAGGGGACACTGTTACTGGGTGAGTTTTAGCATTACTGTTGACTTCTAGTGAAATACCCGATTCTCAACTTTTACCTTTTCTTCAAACCTTTCTCTGATCAAGCGTTACTCTTTTCGCTGAAACTTTTCTCTACAGACTTTGCAGACTTTTGCTGGAAAAATAATGAAGCAAATTGTAAAATTTTAACTTTGTCTGTACAGGCCTGAATAACCCTGAAACTCTTTAGATGGAGGGTTCCTTGAAATAATGTCTACTTACAGTTTCCTCTGAATTAAAACCTCAAGTTTAAAGAGATTGTGTGCAAATTCAAAAAGGAGTAAAAGATCAAACACCGATTGATCAAAACTAGTTTTAAAGAGAGATATTTCTAAAAGAGAATTTGAAATATATCTTTTTAACTGCGGACCAAAATAGTTCTGTAAGAAGAGTAAAGAATGTTTTCTATCAAATTCTATTTCTAAAAAAATCGGACACAAATAAAATAAAGTGCAACAGTGCGAAGTAAAGTTCATGAATGATCATGCACTTTCCCTTTTCATTTTATTCGCCAGCATCAATTTTCCTAAATTTTTGAATGAAAATTTAAACTAATTTAAGATTTAAATGCACACCGATTTTAATTAAAGATTGGAATTTTAATTAAACATTTTAGACATTTTAAATTTTGAGAAATTTATTAATGGGTAATTTTACTTAAAGGGACAGACCGGCTATGTAAGGTAGTTGAACTGAGTATACAGTCTTGTGGAAAATTTCTTTCGGATTCATTTGAGACATATTAAACTTTTTAAAGATCTGTAAATCCTGAGTTTGAGCGCAAATTCGACGTTCAAAACAACTACTTTGGGGGTGGATACGTTTTCAGAATTTGTTTTTTTTTTAATTATTAAATAACGACATCGAAACATAAAGTAAAAATTATACAGTAATCTAATTATAGATGATTAGGTAAAATTTCTCAAAGAAATTTGTCAACAAATCAATGCTAAAATTGATTATTTCGTTTTCATTTTTATATCGAATTTCTTATCTTCTTTGAATTTATTCATAGATTTCTTCAAATTATTCAAGTGTCATCTTTTCAATAGTAATTCTAGAAAATCTGCGAGAATCTTTGTGAATAATGAGAAGAGAACCAGAATAATGAGATAATAGAAACTAATAATTGAACTAATTCTGAAAACGTATCCACCCCCAAAGCAGGAGTTGTCAATCTTTAATGTACGCTAACTGCTAAGGTTAGGATCGACAAGCTATTTGGTTTTAATTTATTTTGACAATTTCAATATTTTTGTCTTTCTGAAGAGCTATTTAAATCTAGAGAATGACAAAAAATAAGCCCAACATTTTTCCCTATTTTTTTCTTCTTGTATATTCACACTTTTCAACTATTTTCTTTTTTTTCCAGCCAACTAGTCCCTTGAAATTTTATATTTTAGTAATAATGATTATATATCTGCACTTGGATCCTGGTCCATGAATAACACGATTAGGTAAAAACTTGAAAATCTTATAAAAAACTATTTATTTTCCTGATATCTTTTACACTGTCAATTTCAATCATACTACAGCTGAAAACTTTAGAATGGTGGATATCGAGATAAATGCTTGATCCTCTCTTTTTCCTAATATCGAGACTAACCTAATCTTTTACTTGTATTCTAAAAAGTGTATAAAATTCAACCAATCAGAGTCGCGTATATGAAGCCGATAAATTTGAAATTTAAGATTAATTTACAGAAACGGGAGAAACTCTCTAATTTTAAAAATGTTTTTTGATTTTTCTCTGCTATTTCCAAGAAAGAACGGTTTGAGAAGAAAATCAATAGATACTCAAATTAAGTAATTGGAGATGGAATTTAAAGAATTTAAATCCGCCAAACCCGGTTTAAATTAAGCGCCGGCTTAAATCTTGAAACATTTGATACAAATGTAAGTGGAACCAACCATATTTAAGCCGCGGCTTAAATTTAAACCACCGCTCAAATTCTTTAAATTCGGCCACGGGATTAAGGATTTCTCATTCTAAAGTTTTCAGCTCAGGTGTATTCAATAAGTTTTGCAGACACATATTTAGATGTATAGCTGTTTCAGCCCTGTAATCTTTTTTTCTAAAGTTCACTATATCTATACCGAATACATTTATAGCCAGGTTGGCGTCAAACAGGTTGTTGTTGTGATTTAAGAAGTTTTCTCCTGAAGGTGGATAGGCTTAATTGTCACAGCATATACTTATATCTAGAATATTGACCAGAGAAAGAGGACACTTTTAAGGCTCAGTTACCCCAAAAAAGTTTTTATCAGACGATGAAAACACAAATCAGAATCCTTAAACATGATCCAGCACACTTTTTAAACCAATTTTTAAAACTTAAATGTTGGTTTGATGGGGTTTAAGAAAGAAAAATGAATATTTGAAGGATAATGATATGTCCGGGCAGGAAAAGACCATCAAAACCCCCAAAATGTTCGAAAATATTGAAAAACGTTGAAACCATATTAGCAAGGGTTCAAGAAGTATGTTTGCCAGACAGCCTGATATATGCTTTTACATTGTAAACAAAGTTGTAAAGAAACATTCAAAAATGACAAAGATTTGGGTCGTATGTGTCCCAAAGTCTCCGACATAGGACTAAAGGGATGAATCTCAAACGTAAATCAAAACCAGGAAAATCCTCACAAGTCCTTCATACATTAAATCTCTCTTTTCTTTTGATCATTCTTAAAGGGTCAAAAACAGACTCTGATGGATCAAGTTTGAGTCCATTCGGAAAATTTTCTTGGTGTGACAAACGAAGCTGATTTACTTCATGGTAGAACGCTTCTTACATTACAAAAAAGCATGATTGACATCAACTGATCTGAAAAATAATCCGGAATGATAATTAGTAAACTTTAAAAAAAATTACAGGGCCATGAGACATCTAGGCGTACCTCTAAAAATTAGTTGCAAAACTTATTGAACACATCTCGTATATATATATCTAGAGTTTAAACACACCTCATATATATATATATCTAGAATTTATAATAATAAATCTCTCATTTTAATAAAAATATTTCTAATACTTCTTTTTCCTTCTTAATGATATACATATATTTTATAATTTTTAAAGTTATTTTAATTTATACATTAATGAAGTTTCTGAAACTATAAATATACTTTGCTTGTCTTGGTGTTTGTATTCAATAAACCTCAAAACGGCTGAACCGATCGGTCCCACTAACAAAATTTGATTTTCATTAAATTTTTGAAAATTTTTAAAATCCACGATTTTTTTATGAAATTCGCGAACTTTTTGTTTTGTTTTGTATTACAATGTACACAAAGGGAACATGTTCACAATAGAAAAGAAGTTGAGCGCGAAGCGCCCTTAATGCCTAGTTTTTTTTTTACATTTGTCTGTATTATATCTATATTTTATTATTTTATTATATTTTATATATGTCTAGAGTTCGTGCACCCTAAACTAAAATTTCGTGGTGAACTGCAGTGATATGCTACTATCTAATCGAATAAATAGTGTGGTTTGGGGTAGTGTTTTATATATTTAAATGTTTAGGAACAGATCTTTTATCAAATTTATATATTTCTAGAGTTCCTGATACTTTCTACTGCGGGGGAACAGCAACAACAACTTTTCCTGAAATAAATAGTAAATTTTTTATACTTTTAAACTTGTATACTTTTTATGCTTCGTTTTTTATCTTTTGAAAAACGAAATGATGAATGTAAAAATATAAGTACTATTTTGTTTTTCCATTTGATAAAAACGATTCTTTTCAAAAGCAATCGTTTTAAAAACGATTTTCGTTTTTTAAATATAGTTAATGAAATGATCAGTTTGTTTTCAGAAAATTGAAAACGATCCATTGACCATCCCTAGTTGAACACCCTCATCATGAATTCATGAAATGAATTCAAATTTGCATAATTCTTTGATGTGGGAAAGTTTTGTTAAGAAAACTGCAAATTGCAATTTTTCTGCACCTGCATTCTTCTCACGCTGTTTTTATTAAACTTAATTCAACCAGTTTCCTTAACAACTAGGATTTTAGGGCGCCATTTTCTTTGCTATAGATTTAAACTTTGCCACAAACTTTGATTTTCTAGTCCATATCTTGCAACCCAATCTAATACACCTTAAATATTTTAAAGTATTAATTCTGTTAGATCAAATGAAATAAGATTGAAACATCAAAGGTTACACCATCAGATTGCATAGATATGGAGATTTGAAAATTTTAGTTTGCAGCAAAAACTCAATTCCTTTGACACAAATTATATTCGATTTCTTCAAAATTAGAATTATCGTATATTGTATTTTTAACTGTGATATTGTTACCATTTAAAAGTGGTATGAAATAAAGGAAATCTAAAGCCTGAAAACTGACGTGAGTAAATCTACAGAGTATAGGAAAAAGTGTATTTACAAGAAAAAAATGAAGAAATAAAATGATACAATGAATCATGGAAAGCCGGAGCTCTCTGGCAGACTCTCCGCCATGCATTCGCACGACGAGTTGATCTTCCGTTTAAACTAGAATCTGGGGCAACTTTGGCTTCAGTTTTCCTGCACGTGTTCAAACATGCGTTCAAAACATGTTTCCTGGGTTGGCATTTTCTAACGTCAAATATTTCTCCATATTTGTGACTTATCATCCCCCCCCCACTTCCTGTCTGACCTATAGCTATATGTCAGACAGAAAGTAGCCGGACTACTTGAAATCCGAGCTTAGCTCCGGGTTCGTATGAGCACTGAAGGGGTTACATTAATGGAACTATCCCATTTGAGTTTAGCTCCAGGTTTGTATAATAACTCAGGGGGTTACATCAATGGAACTATCCCTATTCCGAGCTAGTGAGCTCATTCTGGTTACAATAATATATTTTTAGTTGGTGGAGGGCCCTTAATGTTGTTTATTCATACAGATGATGGAGTCAGGTAATTTTTTTTTTCCAATCTTTAAAATTATTTTAAATATTTATTTTAAACCCGAGGCAGAAACTTTTGTATCACAAAACCTTGACTTTAACTTGTATAACTCTTTATCATGAAGTGTTGTGGATCAGCCATTGATCTCCATCTTATGCAGACCTCAATCATTTCAATTCCTGTTATAGATACCGTGGTGGTCATGCCCTGTAGAGACAATTTTTATTAAGGGATCAAACAATTATCCTCAAATTTAAAAGTTCTGACCACTGGAGATATCAATAAATGTATATGATTAAAAAGAAAAAGGAACATTGTCTCATCCCCCACCCCCTCATCCACCTTCCGAGATGATAATGTAAGTTAAATTGTATAGGTATGCAACTGGTGAACTTTTTGAAGCTGCAACAAGTTTAAACGATACTCTGCTTCAAGAGAACATAATAAATGAAAGGCAAGCTTTTATTAATCATTAAAAAAAGAACAGTTATTGCTATGCATAATATTACATGTATTATATACAAGAAATTTAGTTTTAATGAAAATTACAAAATTTCTTGGTTTGTGAGATGAAGAAGTTTATATTAAATGTTTCAAAAAAATATTTGTTGATTATGGAAATATAGATTCTTTTTTTAATGAGCAATTATAAAAACCGGGAAAATTGTCGCCTTTTATCATTTATTAATGAGGACTTTGTAATTGCAACTTAATGATATATTTATCTGGATGAAATATGTTGATATGTCTGTGCAAAAAAAGTCTAGAGCATCTATAACGAATGATTGAATCCTAATTGAAATTTTTTATTAAAAGTTAAAATAAATATGAATAATTCGTTTTATATGCTATTACTATATGACTAATTAAATATGTACAGAGTTGCCTACAAAGGATGAGACTTCAAAGACGACTGTATGGAATTTATTCAGCCTTCTTTACATAGAGAATAGAATATATAGAGAGGAATTTACTAGAAAAAAGTGTAAAACGGCCATTTTGTTGTACTGTTTTCATACTGCAGGTGTACTTCACATATTTATGCTATATAATCTGTTGGGCCCTGGAATATCATTTTATAGAAAATCCAAAATTATTGTTAAAAGAAAACCAAATTATGAAATAGGCTGGTTTCGTAATTGACCAATGATCATTTCACATAGACTCTATGGCTTCCACTTTATAAACGATGATTTTCCGTTATAACTATAAATCAAATGATGTTTTTATTCACCTAATTCATTATAAAGTTTATTTAACAGCTTTAAAAATTTCGAAATTGAAATGTTTAGTCTAGGGATCATACTGTATTAATGTACTCTACTGCATATAATTTGTGAACATTTAGATGATTTGTACACTTTGAACTCCCTTTCAGGCTGAAAGGGACTGAAAAAATTCATACCGAGGGATTCTTTTAATTCCCCTCTATATATTCTATTCTCTATGCTTCTTTATTACATTAATGGTTCCATCCAGCAGTAAACTTGACTTTTCCGTACCTAGCTAATTTAATAAACACAGAACTATATATTTGACAGATATCCAAATTTAATCCTTTAATTTATCTTTAAATTATTATAGTTTAGGTCGTCTCTAAAGTATCATTCTTTGTGGGACACCCTGCATGATAAATATTGTGTTCAGGGAACGTGGATTCAGATTAACCTACACCCTGCAGCCCTGTGGCTACACATCATATCCTTGAAAAGATATTAATGTCCGATTCACATCATTGCTCCTTCTCATCTTAACACATAGATAAATGTAACAAATTGAATGATATTATCAAAATTCAGAGCTTTTTAAGAGAGAAAGACGACAAACATTTCCTTATTGTTAATCAGAGGTTTCAAGAGTACCACTGTAAATCGGACATACATGAAGGGACACTTCAAATTACGTCTACAGTTCCTTTAACACAGTGATAACCAGAAAACTTTGGAATAGAAAGACGATATCAAGGCAAAATAAGTGCATTTGATGTTGTTACAAACAAATAGATTCACTATTAACTTATTAATCTAGTTATTAAGGGAAATTAGTCTGTTTACACTGCACAATTGATGTCTTTCATTTTCATTGGACTATTGAAGTCATATTTTATGCCAAAACGACTTCTTCCTATTCCAGAGTTTTATGGTAGTCCTGTAGATATTGAGATACCCTTGATAAAATTATTATTTTTTAAATAGTCAATTCAGATGTATAACTTTGCCATTTCATATCCTTAATCTTTGTATATATTTGTAAATATAAATAAATAATTTAAAATAAGTTTGAATTAAAAGACGACATTTACATACAACTTTATCTTTATGATATTGAATAGTAATGAAAATAAAAACTGAATATAACCAAATGCTTAACCCTTAAAGGCTGGAGGGTCTGAATCTATGTGAAGCCAGGGGGGGGCTTTGGCGCCCACCCCCTAGAAAAAGGTCTTAGAGAATAGGCATAGGGTTGAAATGCATGTTCATAGCCCAATTTTCATGGCTAGCTCAAAGAAAAAAAATAGACCGATAACTTTAATAGTTTGGGTGCTAGGGAGGGTGGAAAAAATGCATTAAAAAAGGGTCAAAAAGTGAGAATTTTTTTAATTTTAAACAAAGAAAGTGTGAACGTGTTTCTACATGCATTTTTTAAGGGCTTTTCAAAAATATAGTTGTAGCTTTAGTCACAAAAAAATTATGGGCTATTTTAGATTTTTTTTCACAGACCGGACTTTGTTTCCGCCCTGTACCCTACCCTATAAATAAAAAAAAAAATTTTAACATAAAATTCCTTTAAATTACTATTCATTAAAAGTCACAAAATTTCACTGTGATAGTGTCAAGAATGCAGAAGTGATAGGACAAAAAAAAACTACAGGAGGGGGCGCCAAACGCCCCCCCCCCCCAACCTGTCTAGGGTTAAAGTTTTATAAAAATATTTGGAAAATTAAAAAAGATATGACTTACAGCGTTATGAATTCAATATTGTTCTTACTTTTTTTAGAAATATAATTATTTTGCTCCACATTTTCATGCTGTTGTTGCAACTGATAAATATCACAAAAAGTTCAGAAGAGTCAGAACTTTTGAGTTGCGAATCTTGGGATCAGACATTAATCTTCAAACATACGAATTAATTCAATTCCTCTTTGATATCCAGTCATTGTCATACCCTGCAGAGATAACTTACTTTTTGGGGAATAATCTAATTCATAATTTCCACACATTTGATATTATTATCAAGAGCTCAAGATTAACGATCATTTACACAAAACACCCTTTTGGGTTCACTTTAGTAGAATACAACAAGTCTGGAGAGTCTGGGTCAGTGTATGTGGCGGGGCGGGAACGGGTGGAAGGGGGGGGGCGGATTGTCTTATCTTATAAGTAACTCCCATTCTTCCCACAAAGTAGAGCTGACCCACCCCACCCCTTCTTCCCTGAACCCGTGCTCTTAATGCGCAATTTACAAAATTATAACCACCGTCACCAGGTAAATAAAAACTGGCCCAGCTCAATAATTGGCAGTGTTAATAATACAGTTGAAAAGTGAATGTCTATGAGCTCCTTTTCAATGTAATTCCAAGTGACAGAGTTGTATGCTCGATTAACAATGACACCCTTAAAAGCTTTGCCTAGCTTATTGAGAGTGAATTAGATAATTGTTTAATTGTATATTTTTCATTTGTAGGAATCACGTTGAAAACATTCTCTTTCTTTTAAACTTGGATAAAAGCATTCCCTGGGAAATTATTAACGATTTGATATAGATAGAAATCCATTTTTTTGGAGTTGACAATAACCAGTGAGCTTAGTTTTTAAGTAGGAAAATACAATTTATGGATTTTTAAGGTTTTTTATTTTCGCGGATTTTTAATTTTTATAATCATAATTTTTTGCTGCAAATTCTTTCTATTCTGACTGCGTAATTAAACCTTTATTTTAAAAAGTGTTCGGTCGTGAGATAATGCCCGGGAATCTGGGGCACTTCTTGATGATTTGGACATTTTCCCCACACTTTACAATTATGGATGCGTTGATCTTAAAAATATCGTTAAACTAATTTATAAATGTAGCAATACTAGAAAATATGTAAAAAACAATATTTTGTCTCGAATGTCGTCTTCTTTTCAAAAAATTAAAAAAAACTTGAATAAATTACCTTCTATCCCTTGCACATTCAACAGTTATGTCAAAGTTAGTCGATTAAGATGTAAACGAATCTAATTAATATAATTAGATTTTGTTTCAGACAGAAATACAGTACCCTGATATTATCTCACGACCGGAAACTTTATACCGTGAATTGATTCAGCAGCGTAAAATTATATTCTTTTAGCAACTTGTTTTTTAATAACATATGTAAAACATATTAAGAATATATTGCATACAGTATAAGGCTTTACTAAATATACTCGATATAGATATTTTAAACCCATTGAATAGAAAAAATATAATGCTTCCTATTTTGTGATCTTGATTTTTTAAAATTCAAATAATTACTTTTGCATTGCCGCGTTCCGTTTTAAATTTCGATCATAATTATTGGGGGATTAACATAGTAAAAAAGATAGATAAATATGCTTATTTGTAAACAACTAGTTTAGTTTCTTGTACTTAGTTGATTGGACAATCCAGGGTAGGATAAACATATTTTTCTTTATCTGTGCAATGCAAATATTAACATATTTTTAACCTATGAGATAAATGCAATCACATATGTTTACTTTTCAGTTTAGAGTTTCTCAGAAAACTTGTTTTGATTTAAAAAATGGATAATATTCAAATTAGGTAAGCTTTGGTCTTTTGAAGAAATGTATAAAATTTTATTACATTATTTTTTGTTTTGAAAGATGAACATGGAGCAATATAAAATTAGGATATGGAAACGTATATCCAGAATACATTATTTTATTTTAACTTTTTGAAATCATAAATAAAAGATTGCCAACATTTAATTCTTTTTTTAATTAAAATATATATTTATAGTTGTAGCTTTAGTCACAAAAAAATTATGGGCTATTTTAGATTTTTTTTCACAGACCGGACTTTGTTTCCGCCCTGTACCCTACCCTATAAATAAAAAAAAAAATTTTAACATAAAATTCCTTTAAATTTTTATAAAGATAGTTTACCGCCTTAAATTTTCTGTTAATATCTTGTTAATTGAAAAATGTACACTTAAGATTAAATTGAATCTAATCAAGATACTATTTGTAGGACTGTATGTCAGGATGAGCTGGATCAAGTTGAATTGTTTATAAATAACTATTTTGTGAATCATGAACCTATCATGAGTTCTCTACAACTCTGCCAAGACGGATACAGGTAAAAATAATATTAAAAGAACAGCCTTAATTTTTAATTATAGGGATCCAATCAAATAATGCTATAAGCTACTCTCATTCAGTAAAATCTTTAGTTAAATAAAATCGTTCGTTCAGGAAAATTGTTCTTTCAGAAAAATACAATCGCTTTTCCAAAGTTTGTTAGAAAAAATCGTTAAAAGTAGCAATTTTACCCCTGTTGTTGTCTCAAAAAAATTGTGATTTGACTCTTTTGGTGATCACGAGCAACTACTCTTTTGTTTTATAATGTTTTGTCATTCAATGTATATTTGTGTCCCTAGGATGCCTTATTTTGATCGGTGGATGAGGGTTCGAATGGAACACCCTAGAGGAATAACTTTACTGGCTGAAGATACATCTACTGGTCAGCATATGGGGGCACTTGTTGGTTTCATTTATCAAAGGTAAATCAGAAGTTAGAACTTTTGAATTGTGAATATCCGGATCAATTATTGGTTTTAACTTTCCTTTGTTCCTTGGAAATAATGTGATATGGCATCCTCTTTATATATGTAAATTGTTTATCAAGAAATGAACCGCAAACTTGCAATATCTTTTCTATAATGTTTGTCAAAAACTACAAACGACGACAATCTCAACTTTTATTTTTACAAATTCTAGTAATCTCTGTTTGTTTGTCTGCTTTTTGTTTGTATGTATCTCTTACTTGAACGCTTTGACCGATTTGCTAAAAAATGCTTGGGGGTCAACTCGGTAGAACCACGGAAAAATATCCATAGCGTGGTTTAAAAATATCAAATTGAGTAGGTTGAATTTTTTAGGGAACGTTTGGATTTCCAGTAAAATCTGGGTTTCCAAACTAGAATTAAATATGATCGTTATTCTGTTAACATTTTATATTATACATTTAGGGGAGAAGAATTAGAGAACCCTGATGTTGATCCCAGCCACAGATCTGATAGGTATATACAATATTCATATCTTTACACCTTAATTCAAAATTTTGTCTATACTTTTCTACTATTTTTAAATGCACCATTTCATGTGCCTTAAACTCTGCGCACAAGAAAAGTTATTATATGATGAATCATTGTTTAGGTGTCCTGAAAAATTCAAGATAGTTCTGGATTTCCTGGATTTTGTTGAAAACAAGGGTTTAGAGAAGGTTAATGAGAAACAATTTTCAAAACTGAAGAAAACCAAAGAATATAAATTAAATTTGACAATAATGAAAATAAAATTTGTTCTTAAAATAAAACTTCAATAAAATGGCCGAAAGTAAAAACTTTTATGCTGTGAAGGGATAACTTTAATGTATCCTCCAATTTAAAATGTTTCATGTTGAATATCGAGATCAATCGTTCAAGATAAACGATACTCGCCACTTCAAAACTTCTAGTCTTTATATGAATTTGTAGCTTGTCTTCTCAGGTTGCAAAGATTAGAATTAGAAAATTATGTTAGGGAAACCGTTATTCAATATCTCAGAAAAAAACCTAATACTAAAGGTGTTTCAAGTATATTTTTTAAGGCTGGATTACTGGGTGAACCAAGGGTAGAATGTATATTTCTATCCTGCAGACCTGATCATCGTATTCCAGGTTTAGGGACAGCTCTACTACAAAAGGTTGGTTATAGAACCCAGTCTGGACTAACCAGGGCTGAAAGTAAACATTGGTTTCTTCAATTTGAATTCGATCCTGGTGTTAGTCTTTCATTTTGACGTCTTTACATTCCAGAGCGGTCTTCTTATACTTTTCTTTGAAATTGCATTCACCCACAAAAGTAAGCAAAAACAAACAAAAAATGATGTTCCAATTGTGATTGACGGTCGAACTGTTAAATCTACTGTAAACATTTCTTTTCAACCTCAAAAATATTTATGGATCAGCCGTATACAATTCAAAGTTTTTATTTTTAACAGTAAGCGACTTATAAAGATTTCAGAATTTTGTTTCAAAGAGCTGGGCATTTTCTTGGATTGGTTGTATGCTTAAAGATTGCCCCGGCTGGAACATAAATAGTGAACCATTTAATGTGTATATACCGTGGTCTGGTCAGCAATACCCTATATTTCAATACAAACCCGTTTTTCTGAAATGACGAAATAATACAGAGGCTGATATATATATATTCAAATACACGGTGACTGGTTATAAAATGCTAAATAAATAAGTGTGGTCGGTGTTTACCAGGGAGTAAGGAATTGAAGGGAGATATAACTAACGCAGTTCGCTCTACCATATGATTATACATGCTTTGCAGACGGGTACTCCATTTGAATAAGATATATTCAGAATAGGTTATTGTATACGTGGTAATTGTACATCTGACAAATATTTCTTATTCAAATGAAGTACCCGTCTGCAAAGCATGTATAATCATATGGTAGATCGAACCGCGTCAGTTATATCTCCCTTCTATTCCTTACTCCCTGGTGTTTACCAATGAATTATCAGGTATTGAAATTGTATTATATCACCATTTTAATAACCGACATTGTGTTGATAAAGATGCTGACCATACAAAAACTTGTTTGTTCTTGAAGTAAAAATAAAAGACCCCAGAAAGTTGGTTAAAGAATACCTTTACCAGTAAATGCTATTAAGGCAGTATAGTACTGCAGTCAATATCAACTATTCCGTAGGGATCTCTTCAGTTTCTTAATCTTAATATCGTTTATAGGACAGGAATGCTATTAAGGCAGTTTAGTACTGCAGTCTATATTAAATATTCCTTAGGGATCTCTACAGTTTCTTAATCTTGATATCGTTTAGGACAGGAATGGGCATGTTCAATTTACAACTGTACCGTTTAAAGCTATGATAGAGGATAACAGAGTCATACTTTTATTTTCTTTGCAGAAATGCTTTTAATTGTATACGACTTTGTTTATTTTAAAATTATACAACAGCTTGCAACACAAAGTTATTAACAATACGTAGCATTTCTGCAGAATAAAAATAATAAAATAAAATAAAATAAAATAAAATAAAATAAAATAAAATAAAATAAAATAAAATAAAATAAAATAAAATAAAATAAAATAAAATAAAATAAAATAAAATAAAATAAAATAAAATAAAATAAAATAAAATAAAATAAAATAAAATAAAATAAAATAAAATAAAATAAAATAAAATAAAATAAAATAAAATAAAATAAAATAAAATAAAATAAAATAAAATAAAATAAAATAAAATAAAATAAAATAAAATAAAATAAAATAAAATAAAATAAAATAAAATAAAATAAAATAAAATAAAATAAAATAAAATAAAATAAAATAAAATGAATACTGAACAAAATAAAGCTAGAATGTTTAAATGTCAATAGCTAGAAAAAAGTATAATCCCAATATGGATAAAAAAACTTTAAAAGTTCACAAGGCTAAAACTGAAAAGTGTCACTCTAAAAAAAATATGCAAAGTAAATCCTTCAGTATAATTTTGTGTCAATCAGAGTAAGGAATTTTTATTATTTTTATTATTATTATTCATTAAAGGGAGTGTAAAGGAAAAATGAAAGGGGGTATAGGCTTAAAGCAAAGAATTTCAAGAGTTAAACGATACATAAAAGAAATTTATCTGATGTTCCTCTCTCGAGAAATTTATATAAAACTGTGTCAAAATTATACGAAAATCTACATATATATATATATATAAAATTCTGTATAAAAGCAGTAGGTTAAAGCAGATCATATTCAGCTAATTTGCAACCAATCTAAAAAGGATTACATCCCACAGAAACTTGAGAATCTTAGGTTTGCTCCCATTATAATACTTTTATTTTTATTTTGAATTTTAAATAGATATAATTGATGATATTATTTATAAGTCTAGATATACTTTGCTTGTATTGAATAATATTTTATTTGTTTAGATGCATGAGATTGGAAGAGCTACAGGAGTAGAGCACCAAGTAGTGCTCACTACAAGCGCTTATTCTGCCAGAATTTGCAAGGAACAGAAATTAGAAATTAAAGATACAAAATATATTTGAAGGGAGGCGTTTGACGCCCCTCCCCCCTGGAAAAATGTCTTAGAGAAATTTATAGTCCAATTTTTCAAGGCCAGCTCAAAGAAAAAAATTAGATCGATAACTTTAATAGTTTGGGTGCTAAAGAGGATTGAAAAAATGCCAAAAATAGTCAAAAAATTAAGAAATTTTTTTCTTGTTTTAAACAAATATCAAAGTGTGACACATGTTTCTAAATGCATTTTTTCAAGGGTTTTTCAAAAATAAAGTTTTTAAATCTGTAGCTTTAGTCACAAATTAAAAAAAAATATTTTTTTTTAACAACAAATCCTTTAAATTGCTATTCATTTAAAGTCACAAAATTTCACGGTAATAGTGGCAAAAATGAGAGTGCTAGGACAAAAAAACTACAGGGGGGGGGGGGCCAAACGCCCCTTCCCAGCCTGTTTAGGGTTAAATGACTCTCCATGTTTAGAATGCCATGTCCAATTCACAACGGCTACATTACAAACAATGTTCGATCAAGAATAAATGAGCTATGTTTCTCTTTTAGAAATTTTATCATATTTTATTTTATTTGAATTTTTGGTTTTCTATAAAATTGACTTACGGATCTATTTTTTCTTACATCTTCTAAATTATTACAGAGATAAAGGTTTAAGGCATATTTTGCAATTTTCTCTTTAAATGGAGAATTAATTGAAATTACAACGACATTCCACTTAAGAAAAGAAAAAGCTGGCCTACCTTTTAATATTGTTTTCGGTGAGAAATCTCTGTCTTAATTTTTGGTAATTTTTTGTTTAAGGTAAAATACATTTTATATGTGAAGGTTGAAAAATAAACCATTTAAAGTTTTCTCATCAGAGCTTGTTATATTAAACTTTTTAACAAAAGAAACTATTAACTTAAAAATTTAATACAGGGATAGCCAGCAAACTCTGGAATAGTACGACGACTTTTAGAATTAAGTTATAACTTTAAAAAGTCCATTTAGTGTAAACAGATCCATTTCACTCAATGAGTGAATTTATAAGTGTGTTTAGTAAAACTATTTGCTTTGAAATAACATCAAATATACTGAATTATTTCTATAATGTCGTTTTCACTGTGTTAAAAAATCAAACAAATTACAAATAAATGATAAGTATAAAATCTGTTAATATGTAGAAACTTGGATACACAGAGGATTTAAATCTTCCCTTTTCTGATTACAAGGTGATAAATAAAATAAAATATACTTTTTAAATATAAATTACATCCTACATGGAAATAATTTAAAGAATATATATGAGAATCTCAAATTCCTGGAATTTATAGAAAATGGTGCTTTGAAAGTCTAAGGAAAATTCTGGAATATTTCTGACAATATTTTATTTGATTACAGGGGCGTAAATAAGTATTCTGTAGGGGGGGGGGTACATTTTTTTACCCCCCCCCTAGAAAAATATCATGATGTATATCAAATTATTGGTTTTAGTTAGGTTTGATTTGCATTTTCCACTCATTTCTGGCATTTACAAACCCCATCAAATAAAGGCTTCATTTCTTACCTTTCAGCTTTCACCTTGTTTTATATCCTTCATTATAGTCATTCATTTTACATTAACTACAAAGATCTGTAAAAACACTTAATTTATTTTAAGTAACATAAAAAATAGTTTTATTCAAAGAAGAAAAAGATGATTTCCCTTTTATAAATCTTTAGAAAAGCTACTCTACAAAACTTAAAAAAAAATATTGTCTTTGTTTAAATTCTAATTTCTAATTTCTAAAATTTTCGTGTAGTCAATGTACTAGGTATATATGTTAATTTCACGATATTTAGAGAGAGCTTTATACTTATCAATGAACGCAAATCTGCCCCTTTAGTAAAAGTAAATTCAACCTATATGAAACATAAAGTCTGACCGCGTCAACCTTGTTGCACCAGCTAGTCCTAATTCCCCTCCCCCTCGGATTCTAGGGGGGGGTAAGTAACCCCAATAACCCCCCTTATTTACGCCACTGTTTTATTATTTTATTGAATTACATTAAATAATCATTTTAACAAAAAAGTACAAACAAAATTGCACAATTAAAACTGAGTAATAAATACCTTAGTTAAAAGTAGTTTTTTTTTCAAGTTGAATAACGAGATAGTGTTCAAGACGAATTCTCCACATACACACTGTAGGTTCTGGTCTAGGCATGAGCCTCAACGTTAAAAGATCTGAACCAGAAAACAAATCGAGATAAAATAACGAAATAAAAAAGATCCTTGATTCGATGTCTGATAATGTTACGGGGTATCCGCAAAATCTGAGATTTTAAAATTTGCGACCAAAAATTTCTAAAATGGCATGACCTTTAAAGGAAAATTATCTTTGGAACTCAATTCCGTTGACCTTAGCTATTTTAAACTATGAATTAGCTAAAGGTTCATATAAACGAAGTTTAAAATATGAATTGTTTACGCCATCAGGTTGCAAAGATATAGGGATTTACAGAAAGTTTACAGTTTCAGGCAAAAACTCAGTTTTTTTGGTCCGAATATTTTATTTATTTTCTCGTTGAATGAACCATTATTTTGGAAAAATATACTTTATAAAAGTTATTCTGTCAGAAGTCTACTTCTAATATTTATGAATAACCCTTGTTAATCGACCTTTACAAATGTTCATAAAAAATACTACATTTAAAATATTTATCTACATATTTTATTTTAGGCACTAATTGTATGATGTGCTTTGTATTTTTGATGTTTCAATTTTAATAAAAAATAATTTTACTTTATTAACCCTATTCCTGCTGGGTTAAAGATGTTGTGTAGTGTGTACTGTATTAAACTCTATTAATATATAATTTCACTTTGATTAAAGATGTTGTGTAGTGTGTACTGTATTAAACTCAAGTAATATATAATGAAGGCATTTAAATTTGAATTATTGTACAGATTTACCAACACAGGATGAAACTAATATTACGACCAAACATCTATTGAAATAAAAATTAGTAGGTTAGATATGATATTTTTTATGCCTGTAAAAAGTCCGTATAAATTCTGAACAGTCGTCTCTGAAGTTTCATTCTTTGTGGGTAACCCTGTCTCTACTCTTCCTCTCTGTAAAAATTGCAAAAGTCTTTAAATTTATTTCCCAATGTATGTGAAAGAAATCAAAATGTTCTATGATCATGAAAAACATTGACTACTTTTAACTATAATTTAACCAGAAAATACACTTATGACAATTTAGCGAGGGGTAATTTTCATAGATAAATTAATTTTTAGCAGTTCAATTACACGTATTACTTACAATTAGATGGAATTAGCTGGGAATGTGTAACAAACCTTCCTTATTAAATGTTAAATCTTTGAAAGGGAAAAAATCTATTTGTTTTTTTGATGACATGAAGTTTGCCATTTTTAAAAGTGCCATTTTGGGAATATTGTTTTTAATTTTTTGCGATAGTTTATTTAAGATTTAAAACATAGCTAATAACCATGGAATATTTAATCTTTTTTTAATTTTAAACTTGACCCACAAATTTTCTACCTAAAAGCAAATGAAACAAAAATACAATTTTGTTGAAGGAACTGATTCTTTAGATTTAGTTTTCATCATTTCAATCTTCAGGAAATTTTCTGTGTACTTATGACATTTTTCAAAGATTACTAAAAAAGTGGGTGACCCATTTTATAATAAAAAAATAATGAAATCAAAGTTTGAAACACATCTTTGTATAAGTCAAAAATTTTATTGTACTAAATTTTGTAAATAATTCATAATTAATTTTTTTTATCTCTTAGAAATAAAAGTTAACACAATCAATCCACATCCGATAAAAATAGAAATTTTTACTTTCATCTCTGCTCAAAAATTTAATTTCTAAATTTAAAGATTTAAGGAATAAAAATAAAAATAATCCAAAAATAATGATTTTAAAATCTTCTATTAAACTTTTATAAAATATTCTGTAAGAAATAGTGATTATTTTACTAAATAATGCACCATGCGCTCTCACGAGACAAATTTTAAAGAGAAAGGAACCGAGTCTTTGCCACAATTTGTCTAATCTCCTATATCATAGCAGACCAATGAACGCAAATCTGCCCCTTTAGTAAAAGTAAATTCAACCTATATGAAACATAAAGTCTGACCGCGTCAACCTTGTTGCACCAGCTAGTCCTGTCCATAGAGCTGGGTACAGTACAAACTTGGACCGGAAAGGTTGACCCGGCTAGGAAATTCAAATGTACTACGGCTGCGAGACGCCCGTGAATGGCGTAAACCTTTAAATATCAAACTTGGATCTTTTAACCAACAGAATTTATAGTTTGACATATTAAAGATCTATAATGAAATTGGGCCGGTTGTTAAGAAATATAAATTAGAAAATCAGAATTTGTGACAAAGACTCAATTTGGTAACTATAGTTGACAACCAAGAGAGTCTGTATTGGTAAAATATGTGCAAATATGTAAAGTTCTTTGCTAATTAATAGATGACTCGGAAATATTTAGATTGATATTTTGTATTTGCAATCTTGCACATATTTGAAGAAATTCAAATATCAAGATTATAATATTCAAATATTTACATTTCTACAAGTTTATATACATATATATTGCAATTGCTAAAATGGTTTGGAAATTAGTTAGAACACACATTTAGTGCTAAAATATGTATAAGACAATAATTTAAATTTTCCTACAGCATCATTATAATAATGCTACTTCGTGGCTACAATTTGATATACAATATGAAATCACGTGCTAATACAACCTTTTTTAATTTTTTTAAGTTTGACTAAATATGCACATTCAGAGTTACAACCTTGTTTACAACCATTGGTTTAACTTTATTTTTTTACGGCATGAAGCTCTTTCTTTACAAATGTGTTTTTCATTTTAAATATACTTTTGCTTAAAATTAAATGATGAAAAATTGTATTTTTACTTGTCAGCTGGCTAAATAAAAAAATTAGGTTTTAATTATTTTCAAATATAAGATTTGTGTGCTGTTAAATAACATGTCTGAACAGCTTCTTTAAAACTAATGTAATTTTTACATTTTCTATTTTGTGCTAGTTCTGTTCACAATAAAACATAATTAAACATTCAAAGATGTCGCCAGTATTCAAGACTTAAGCTGAAAAAATCAATTAGTTGGAAAATGAATACATTTTTATCAAAAAAGTCTTTTAAGTCGTTGTAGTGTGTAAAAGGTACTTTTTAAATAAATCTCAAAACTGACATTATATAAGTGACCCGTATGTCTCATTATATAAGTGACCCGTATTAGTTGTTAATAGAAAAATGTCTTCAAAAATTGCGGACCTTAGATAAATAACAAATAAAGATAGACTACTAGATGTCATTTTTTCAAGATTTAGGGGTTTTTCGATCACAACAACCATGAGGCAGAAGCTTAAAGAAGTTGTAAGCGCATGGCTGCCTTAGGATTATTGTGAACAAAAACCCCTAACTCTTGAAAAGAAAACATCAGTGTTCTATCTGTATTTTTATTAATCTATGACACGGACCTTGGCGATTAACCTTATTTTGAATTTTACTAATAAGAAAAAGTTTTTTAATAGTTTTACAGAAATTTTTACAAACTAATTTTTTAAATGTTTTTCCCCTTCTATTAGCAAGAATGAGACAGTGACAAAATTAATTTAGTTTGTCTTTTGTCATCCTTAAGCCCCATTACACGTTTTTTAGATAATTACTATAACATTTTTTTATAACTTTTTCATCTAGTTTAGAAATCAATATAAATTGATAAATTTCAATTTTATTTATTTTATTTTATTATTCCTTGAGTAACCAGAACTTGCTGTGAGTGTGTGGTTCTTCTGTATCAAAGACGACTTTACCATCAACCTAAGCAATGCATGGCTTATCAAAGTGAATAAATACTAAAGTGCAACTGACAGAATAAAGACGACTTAATGTTGACCACAAGCTTTTATTTGCTTTGGCGAACTTTCCAAATTATTGTTGCGGGACCCTTTTATGAAGTAAGGATTAGAAGTAGTTTACGATTTTTTATGTCGTCTTTACGAAAACTTGCAACTTACCGGATTGAAAAATTATTCTTTATGTGATACGTGCACACCAAAATATCATTCTTTGCTACAGGTTTTGCACTATGTTAGTGCTACACATGAAAAAATCTAATACTCTCTTTAACTAGCTTAAATTTTGATTCTAATATTCAACTAGAGCAACATTCACAAAACTTAACTTTTTTTCATGAGAACTTTTTGAATTTAAAACAATTCTCAACAAACACATATTTCAGATTCACTCTAAAAAAGAATTTGTGGTTTATCCCAATTAATCCACATGGCTGTCTTCAAATGAATAAAATACAGAGTATTTAAACGACATTTACTCATTTTTTGTATTACAAAAAAATCTGGATTAAAGCATGACTGTCATACAAGACATGAAACAGAAATATATATGTTCATCTCCTTTCTTATTTGATTGATGAACTCACATTCTGTGTTTTTCTTCTTTGTAATTAAATGTTAGAAATCAATGAATACTATATAAGAAAGTAGATACACCTAATGCTCTACAGATTATGCAATAGTTTTCAAAAAATTAAATTCAACGTTCTTAATTTTTCAGACTATTTCCCTTCCAATTTCTGAGATTGTGTCTTCAGCGTAATTTCTTAAGTAGCTCTCCAAGCAAAGATGACAATGCTCTATTTGCCACCGTGCCCTTAAAAACTTTTGTCTCATAAAGCATGAATTAGATATTTCACAATTGGAAAGCTTAAAAATTATCAGAACACTTTAAAACCTTAAAAAAACGACAATTTCTGTTGATCACATGAAGGTTTGAAGGGAGTACCCCAGTACGCACCGAAAGCTTAATTTAGGGTTACCTTGTAACCTGTGTTTACATAGATACCTTGTAATCTGTATTTCAATTGTTAACCTGTAACCTGTTTTTAATAGATACCTTGTAATATATGTTTAAATAGATACATTGTAATCTGTGTTTCAGTAGATACATTGTAACCTGTGTTTAATAGATACCGTGTAATCTGTGTTTAAAAAGATACCTTGTAATCTGTGTTTAAATAGATACCTTGTAATCTGTGTTCAAATAGATACTTTGTAATCTGTGTTTTAATAGATACCTTGTAATCTGTGTTGAAATAGATACCTTGTAATCTGTGTTTAAATAGATACCTTGTAATCTGTGTTTAAATATATACCTTGTAACCTTTGTTTACATATATACCGTGTAATCTGTGTTTAAATAGATACCTTGTAATCTGTGTTGAAAAGATACCTTGTAATCTGTGTTTAAATATATACCTTGTAATCTGTGTTTAAATAGATACCTTGTAATCTGTGTTTAAATAGATACCTTGTAATCTGTGTTTTAATAGATACCTTGTAATCTGTGTTTAAATAGATACCTTGTAACCTTTGTTTACATATATACCTTGTAATCTGTGTTTAAATATATACCGTGTAATCTGTGTTTAAATAGATACCTTGTAATCTGTGTTTTAATAGATACCTTGTAATCTGTGTTTAAATAGATACCTTGTAATCTGTGTTTAAATAGATACCTTGTAATCTGTGTTTAAATAGATACCTTGTAATCTGTGTAGGGAAAAGAAAAAACTTCCTCGAACCCAAGTTTCTATTCACAATCTCAGTTTATATTTCATCATAACCCAAAGTCCGTGCTTACAATTTTTAGATTTTCTAACATTTTCGGAATATTAAAAGTCTATTGAACCCGGATGAATAGGATGAATACGATGAATAGGATTCCCAACACTTTAGTTAACAATACTATTGTTTAATTATAAACTGTTCCTGGCATATTCTAGCCGAATAAAAACTTGTTGTAAGAACTGTCTGATATTTTATTCCTTTAGCTCGAGCCAACTCCTGCATCTAAAATAGAAATATTTTTTTATAGGTATTTCTGATCACAGATCAAATTAAACTCTTTGACAAATTTGCCTCGAATGTATATGAATGCAACAAATAATAATTGTTTTTCTAGAGTTTGTAAAATTTATTTCAAAATAATCTAAGCTTAAACATTTCTTTGATGAGCTTTCATTTAACCCTCTAGGTTTTCCTCTAGATAGAGGGAGAACAACTCTTTCATAATAACTCTTTAATTCATAACAACTCTTTAATACCAACTCTTTAATTAAGAACAGCTCTTTCATAACAACTCCTTAATAACAATTCTTTAATAACAACTTTTTAATAACAACTCTTTAATGTGTTATATAACATTAGATTAAAGTTTAAATACAAATAAGTTTCTCCAGGCAAGTTCGGGAAAAAGCTTTTGTCACTTTGAGTTCACCGGAAAAAATAAACGTTCTTCATCATGTAATATTATAAATGAATTGAAAATAAAATAAGTATCGATGGATTTAACTGTAAAACGACTTTTCCAATCGACTTCTTGAAATTACGCGTACAGTCCCTTTAATTATCAAAACTAGGATTTTCTAGATTGTTTACAAAAGCTATTTAGGATATTCTAGATTGTTTACCAAAGCTATTTAGGATATTCTAGATTGTTTACCAAAGCTATTTAGGATATTCTAGATTGTTTACCAAAGCTATTTAGGATATTCTAGATTGTTTACCAAAGCTATTTAGGATATTCTAGATTGTTTACCAAAGCTATTTAGGATATTCTAGATTGTTTACCAAAGCTATTTAGGATATTCTAGATTGTTTACCAAAGCNATCTGGCTTCCTGTTGGATTCAAGGGACTGTTCACTCATATATCAAACAATCCGGAATACAACATTACCAAAGCTAGAATTTTCTAGATTGTTTACCAAAGCTAAGATGTTTCTAGATTATTTACAAAAGTTTAAATTTTCTAGATTGTTTACCAACGCTAGAATTATATAAATTCTAATACTGAATATTAATATATCGTTGATGTATTGCACAAAACAACATATATTCTGTTCTCTCATTTAACTTTGCAAATACATCCTAACACCAAAGAAAAGGCATTATGAGAAATTCTTTAAAATACTAAAGATTTAATTCCTTGGTAAATTTTCCAATTTTAAAAGTGATTCAAAAATGTTTAATCAAAAATTATTGTAATTGTAGGATTTAAAAATGACCCTAATTGTCTTTCCAACTTAGTGTGATCATTACTTCCTTTATATCTTCTTATTTGGTAGTTACTATAGTTATACATTATTCACTACACTCTAGATTCTACATTATTCATATATATCCTCTTATCCCCTTGCCNCCCCCCGTAATCACCAAAGCAATATTCTGAGCCAAAAGTATATAAACTCATTGTCAAAGATACATATATATCATATCATATGTATTAAAAGATTTGGCAAAATCCTAGTAGAACACAATCTGAAAAGCGAAAGTAATTTACTGTGTCTGTCTTTTTGTATCCATAACCATTAAACATAAACATAACTGAACGGAAACTCCCTTGACCTGACTCATGAATAAAAACATAATGACTTGAAAAGCTAAAATTAAAATTGGTATTGAAATAGATATAGATAAAGATATAGATATAACTTTGAAACAGCACGTAGCTAGGCTCACCCATGGACAAACCAGAGTGAGAACACATTCGGTTTCTTCTGTTTAAAATCAAACCTGTTTTGGTCTATAAGGCAAAAATCTTTTAATTTACGGATTTGTTTGTAACATACTTTTTCATTCAAAATCTATATGCCGACAAAAATTTATTTAGGAAAAAAGGCTAAAAAATATGATTAATGGGTTAAATTGTGATCGAAAGTCACAGTTTTCTGGAATATTGACAGAACCATGCACGTGCGTTGCGAGCATTATATATAATAGAAATACTTTATGAAAATTTTCCGATATAAAATCAAATTTCTAGAGACTGCAGATTTTTTTATCATAAACAAATCCTATCGTGCATAAATTATGACCTACTTCTGAAAATATTCAGTTTTACTTTTAGGTCGAAAGATTTATCATTTTTTTCTAAAAAAAAAGTAAAACAAGTAGATGATTACTTTCTTATTGCGTGGATTCATGTTTCAATTAGGATCCTGCTTTACAGTCAATAATTGTATTTTAAATATTTTTTTATTTCCCTTTAATACTCATTTCATGAGATGAATTGAGATGAATTGAGATGAATTAATAGTAAATATTAGATTAAATTCCCAACCTAATATAATTTTAAAACAAAAACTGGTGAAACTGTAAAATATAAAGCAAACGTTTAAACCAGAGATAAGAGAGCTACAGAGATCAATTATCAGCTAAAATGTGCGATATTTTCCACAGCATGTTCTATTGTGTACAAGTACAGTACACGACCAATCAGCAAACATTTGTATTCATCGATATTTAAGGATCCTTTGGATACGAAACACAAAATCTTCAAAAAAAAAGAATGAATTATAAATATTATGTTTCATTTTTGTCGTGCCGGGTCAACTAAGGCATACGTTGCCCACCCTGTGTATGGAGCATTTTTTTTTATTTAAACATTTTTAATCATTCTGCTTAAAATTTATTTTAAGAATAGATGTTACACGTGATTTGAAAAATAATTTTCAGGAGGGGCTTATTACTCCGACATTAAATCGTCAAATTACAACCGTTGGTCGTTTGGCTGATTTATAAAAAAAACCACAAATCGATAATCCCTGCGTCCAACAATCTGTATTAGACAAAAGTATATCAAATGGGATAAGGGTTTAAAAAGGTCAAAAATCCTGATTGATATTGGCTTCATGGTGTTCGTGTGAACCTTGAGTTCCTGATTGAGTTATATCTGTGGGACAGATACCTGAGAAAACAGACTGAGCCGTATCCGGATTCATATTGGCTATGGTATTCGTGTGAACCTTGAGTTCCTGATTGAGTTTTATCTGGATTGATAAAGATCTGAAAGCAGTTTTAGAAGTAAGGCATTTACTACACCCCCAAAAAATAAATGACGTCTAATGCTAGATTCTTATCTAATAGATACATAGTTAATACGACGGGCACAGTTGGAGAAGTGTCAAATCACTGTTAAGTCCGGTTCATTTAAAAAACCAGGCCAACAGCTAACCAGCTAGTGCGAGCTGTACAGTACATATACAGATTATACCAGGTACAACGGATAATTGAAAATTATAACGTGGTTCTAACAGTCGTCTTTCTATGCCACAGTTGCACGGGTCCCACTGTACCTTGTTTAGTAAAGCAGTTCCTAGACCAGGAATACGCCGGTCATCTCTGCAGGATAGAATTGCACAGTCTACTCTCTCTTCAGGTTCATCTATCTAGAATATAGAGTATACAAATAGGATAATCTAGAATGTATATTATACAGATAGAATGATCTAGAATATAGATTTTACAGATAGGATAATCTGGAATATAGATTGTACAGATAGGATAGTCTAGAATATAGATTATAAAGAAAGGATAATGTAGAATAGAATAGTATAGAATATAGATTATACAGATAGGATAATCTAGAATATACAATATTCAGATAGGATAATCTAGAATATAGATTATTCAAATAGGATAATCTAGAATATAGATTATTCAGATAGGATAATCTAGAATATAGATTATTCAGATAGGATAATCTAGAATATAGATTATTCAAATAGGATAATCTAGAATATAGATTATTCAGATAGGATAATCTAGAATATAGATTATTCAGATAGGATAATCTAGAATATAGATTATTCAGATAGGATAATCTAGAATCTAGGCCAATGCTCTCTTCTGTGGTAGCAGGAGTAGGATTGGCCTTAGTAGAGCCGAATAGATCGGCAGTAATCATGAAGAATCGGAAGGAGGAAGATTAGCCTATTATATGAGACAAATAAAAGGCAAAGAGTCTGCCAGAAAGCTTCGGCTATCTTCGATTAATTTTTTTTTCATCATTTTCTTTTCTTTTCTTTTTTTTCAAGGGCTGGACAAAAATGTAGTTTTATATCTGAAGCTTTAATAAAAAAAGTTATGGGCATTTTTAGATTTTTTTATCACGGACCGGTCTTTTTACCCTAGACCATGCATTAAAAAAATATATTTTTTACAAAAAAAATACGTATGCCAAAAGAATTTGCGAAGCCGGACACAAAATAAACTAAATAAATAAAATGATTAAATATAATGCTAATAGAATTAATGCTAACACTAACTTTCCTGGTTAATAAGTTGTTAACTTCTACTAGAAATATTCTTTAGTTTTTATAAACTTGGAGAACTTTGTTTAGTTTTGTAACGACTAGATAATTCTCCATTGAACATGTGAAAACTTTGAAACTTAATTTAAACTTTCCTAGAAAAAAGAATTTTTGCTAAGTCGTAAACTATCGGCATTTATCAATCTGTTTTTTTTTTCATTACAAATCTCAACAAATTTAATTTCAAGTTTTTATAAAAGTTTATTAAATTTTTCATTTTTCGCATAAGATGCTTTAAAAAGTTTTTCATTGGTAAAGGAAAATGAATTTGTTCCTGCAAACTTGAATTTTTCATAATTTTCCAATATTTGTAAATATTTATATTTGGTTCATATAATTACCTGTTTCATAGCTGCAGATTCAAACCATTCTAAAAAATCTAGAACTTTCTTAAACTTTTCCGAACATCTGAAAAAAGATCAGTCAGCAAAGTTAAAATTCAAAATTTCTTCTTGTTTCATTTTCAAATATTTTAAGAAATGTAAAAATAAAAGCTTAAAATATTTATTTCTTTGCTAACTTTCCTATCCGATCTATTGGCTGTGAGCTCCTCCGGATCAGTAACATGCTCACCTCTTTAAAACAAATTGATAAAAATTAGATGTTTGATATTTATTAATTGAAAGTAATAGAGGTTAGATGGAAGTGAGAAGGATGTTAGATAGAATTGTTAGATAGACAGAAAGAACAATTGTTAAATATCAAATATTAAATAATAAAAAATTAATAGATTGGTCCTATCATTGACAGGACATTTTATAGATAAGCTATCTCATAGATTAAGTTATAATATAGTATATGAATAAAAATCAATAAAGCAATGCACTGAGTTTCTCAAATATTCAACGAGTCGGTTTTTCTTACAATATATTTATATACAAAAGATACAAACTTTAAATCGAACGATACTAATACAAACTAAATATTATGAATCTAATCAGTTCTATCAAACAGGAGACATTTTACATTTTCATTTTCATCGTCTCACTTATACAAATTAAATATTGTTAATCAAATTAGTTTCATCAAATAGGGGAATTCTTCAAGGGAACCTTAATTCAAGGGAGCTGAATCACAACTGCCTGTCCCCCTTCGATTTTGCTCCATCCTAGGATCGCATTTAACCCTAGCTACCCCGGGGTTGTTCCGCCCCCTCCCCAACGCTTGGGTCTTCAAGATAACGGAAAATTCGGCGTCGCTTGGGTTATTTATAGAATCCAAATGCAAACTCAAATAAATCCGTTAGGTTTCAAAATAGGACTCTAAAGTCCAACCGTAGGGTTAAAGATGGGGGGGGGGGGAAAGGGGGCATGATTCCCCTTGGTAGCTATGATCTCAGCGATCCAAAAAATCCTTGAATTGCTGATCGTAAAAGATCAACAAAACTCGCCCACTGTTACAATAAGACTATCATATAAACTGAGAAAAATACTTGCTCATATCGTAAGAATTACAATATATCACACACTACTGCAAACAAAATTTTTAGAAAAAGAAAATATTGTACTTTTGCTATGAAAAACCTCCTTTGTCAAAAAATTTCCTTTTTAATGTCCTTATATTAGCATTCTCTGCCTCTGTATGACGTGTACATAATTGTCTTATAACTTTAATAATTTATTTTAATTAAGTTTTACAATATTTTTAAATATTTATATGATATTAGATGAAGAAGGAAATATTTTTGAGTTTTCTATATTTCTTGTTCTTCATTTCTTTCTTGTTTGTACATCGTTCAATCATATTTCGGCTAATTTTGAAAAGAAAGAATATAACTTTAGTATGCCTGAGGACACACGCATGGTAGGTAAAAGCTGAGCTTTCTGTAAATGTTGGCCCTGAAGAAGATATACATAGGAACATATGTGATTTTTAAATTTTTCTCTTTGTTGAGGTCTTTATCTTCTGTAAATGTTGGCCCTAAAGAAGATATACATAGTAACATATGTGATTTTTAAATGTTTCTCTTTGATGAGGTCTTTATCTTCTGTAAATGTTGGCCCTAAAGAAGATATACATAGTAACATATGTGATTTTTAAACGTTTCTCTTTGTTGAGGTCTTTATCTTCTGTAAGAGTAAACATTGTCATAATAAATTGAAAGTAATTGGAAGAAAATGTATATTTGTTCAATCTCAAAGATTTTTGTGGAACAGCCTGAAAGCCAATAAATCCTGAATTGTAAGTTATAGAATTTCAACTGCAAATATTTTGTACAATGAGCTATCTATTCTACCTTATTTGTATCAACCTATATTACTTTTGCAAAAGTTAATTTCATATTGTGCCAATTTTATGTTGAAAAATTTACTGTGATTGTGAGAGAAATCTTTGATTTGTGGAAAAGTGGTTAAAATACAGAGAACAAAATAATTGGATAAAAGCTTTTCAAAGAATACAACTTTCCATCAAAGGGAATAAAAAGAAATTTGTAAAAGGCTTGCAGAATAATGTTACCATAGAGTATAGAATATAAAAAGAGAGGAACTAAAAGAATCTCTTGGTATGAATTTTTTCAGTCTCTTTCAGCCTGAAAGGGAGTTCAAAGTGTACAAATCATGTAAATTGCAGTACAGTACATTAATACAGTATGTTCCCTAGACTATTCATTTCAATTTAGAATTTTTTAAACTGTTAAATAAACTTTATAATGAATTTGGTGAATAAAAAACATTATTTGAATTATAGTTATAACGGAAAATCATCGTTTGTAAAGTGGAAGGCATAGAGTCTATGTGAAATGATCATTGGTCAATTATGAAACCAGCCTATTTCATAATTTGGTTTTCCTTTAACAATAATTTTAGATTTTATATAAAATGATATTCCAGGGCCCAAAAGGTTATATAGCATAAACATGTGAAGTACACCTGCAGTATGGAAACAGTACAACAAAATGGCCGTTTTACACTTTTTCCAGTAAATTCCTCTCTATATATTCTATTCTCTAGTGGATGTTAGTTTTGATTTTAAGATGGTAACCGGTAAATATTTAATGAGCAGAATTAATGAAGTTTTTTCTATCTAAAAATTGATTAAAAGATTGTTTTAATTCAGGAAATTTATTTATTGAGTTTTTATTTCAGTTCTCTATTAAATTGTCTTGCCACGATATCTTCCTAAATCCTCATTGTTGAGCCGATAAAAGTCCAAAGGTCTCCTAAATCCTCATTGTTGAGCCGATAAAAGTCCAAAGGTCTCCTAAATCCTCATTGTTGAGCTGATAAAAGTCCAAAGGTCTAAAGTTTTGAATCAGGCTTAATCAACTTTAAATGCGGAGTCACGTGATGTTATGTCGACAATCCCTTTATTTTGGACTGTTTGATATAACTTATCAGTATATGAGTTCAAGAATAGTAAGCTCCCTTTTTTATATTTAAATGTGATATTTTTTTAAAAAAAGATTTAAGTCTAGATAATATTGGGCTGGGACTTGGAACTTGAAGGATCCGAACTTTCACATTCAATTAGATTTGAATTGACAGAAACCCAGTCAGACAAGGACTCCTATAGTCAACCTGCTCAGTGTTATATCAACAAGGACTCCAAAAGTTATCCTGTTTAGTATTGTACCTAGAAGGACTCCTATAGTTAACCTGCTAAGTATTGTATCTACAAGGACTCCTTGTAAATCTGCTGAGTATTGTATCTACAAGGACTCCTTTATTTAAGCAGACAAGTATTGTATCTACCAGGACTCCTATAGTTAACCTTCAAAGCATTGTATCTAGAAGGACTCCAATAGTTAACCTGCTAAGTATTGTAACTAGAAGGACTTCTATCGTTAACCTGCTAAGTATTGTAGCTACAAGGACTACTATAGTTAACTTGCTAAGTTTTGTAGCTACAAGGACTACTATAGTTAACCTGTTAAGTATTTTACTACAAGGACTCCTATAGTTAACCTGCTAATTATTGTAACTAGAAGGACTACTATAGTTAACCTGTTATGTATTGTACTGCAAGGACTCCTATAGTTAACCTGCTAATTATTGTAACTAGAAGGACTACAATAGTTAACCTGCTAAGTATTGTTGTAGCTACACGGACTCCTATAGTTAACATGCTGATTATTGTAACTAGAAGGACTACTATAGTTAACCTGCTAATTATTGTAACTAGAAGGACTACAATAGTTAACCTGCTAAGTATTGTTGTAGCTACACAGACTCCTATAGTTAACCTGCTAATTATTGTAACTAGAAGGACTACAATAGTTAACCTGGTAAGTATTATTGTAGCTACACGGACTCCTATAGTTAACCTGCTAATTATTGTGACTAGAAGGACTACTATAGTTAACCTGCTAAGTATTGTACCTAGAAGGACTCCTATAGTTAACCTAATAAGCATTGTAACTAGAATTACTACTATAGTTAACCTGCTAAGTATTGTACCTAGAAGGACTCCTATAGTTAACCTGTTTAGTATTATAACTAGAAGGACTACTATAATTAACCTGCTAAGTATTGTAGCTACACGGACTCCTATAGCTAACCTGCTAAGTATTGTAAATAGAAGGACTCCTATAGCTATTTTGCTAGGTATTGTAACTAGAAGGACTACTATAGTTAACCTGCTAAGTATTGTAACTAGAAGGACTACTATAGTTAACCTGCTGAGTATTGTAGCTACAAGGACTCCTATAGTTAACCTGCTGAGTATTGTATCTACAAGGACTACTATAGTTAACCTGCTAAGTATTGTAACTAGAAGGACTCCTATAGTTAACCTGCTAAGTATTGTAACTAGAAGGACTACTATAGTTAACCTGGTAAGTATTGTAGCTGCAAGGACTCCAATAGTTAACCTGGTAAGTATTATAACTAGAAGGACTACTATAGTTAACCTGGTAAGTATTGTAGCTGCAAGGACTCCTCTATTTAACCTGCTAAATATTATATCTACAAGGACTCCTAAAGTTATCCTGTTTAGTATTGTATCTACAAGGACTCCCATAGTTAACCTGCTAAGTATTGTAGCTACAAGGACTCCCATAGTTAACCTCCTAAGTATCGTAGCCACAAGGACTCCTAAAGTTAACCTGTTTAGTATTGTATCTACAAGGACTCCTCTATTTAACCTGCTAAATATTATATCTACAAGGACTCCTAAAGTTATCCTGTTTTGTATTGTATCTACAAGGACTCCCATAGTTAACCTGCTAAGTATTGTAGCTACAAGGACTCCTATAGTTAACCTGCTAAGTATTGTAGTTACAAGGACTCCTTTAGTTAACCTGCTAAATATTATAACTATAAGGACTCCTATAGTTAACCTGCTAAGTATTGTAACTAGAAGGACTCCTATAGTTAACCTGCTAAGTATTGTAATTATATGGACTACTATAGTTAACCTGCTGAGTATTGTAGCTACAAGGACTCTTATAGTTAACCTGCTAAGTATTGTAGCTACAAGGACTACTATAGTTAACCTGCTAAGTATTGTAGCTACAAGGACTACTATAGTTAACCTGCTAAGTATTGTAGCAACAAGGACTCCTATAGTTAACCTGCAAAGTATTGTAGCTACAAGGACTCCTTTAGTTAACCTCCTGAGTATTGTAGCTACAAGGACTACTATAGTTAACCTGCTGAGTATTGTAGCTACAAGGACTCCCATCAACTGGTTATCTCCATCTACAGCTACAAGAGTAACATTTCTAGGACCTTCTAATCTGACTCTCAACCAACGATCAAAATATGGCATCCTAAATAAATGAAAATCAAAATATGGCATTCTAAATGGAAATAAATTGGTACCATGATAGAGAAAGAAGCTCAGATGTTTAAGTTTTTTTAACGAATATTAAAAAACCATTTAAAATTTAAAAAATAGTTAACTCGGCGTATATGGTTAGTGTTTACCTGTAACCGTCCATGCTTAGCTGTATAGACTTATTTATTGGTTCATTTGGTAGAAAATAGTTGTTTATGAAGTTTATAATATCATCCACTTCATTCTCCGAAGCCTCCCTGATAATATCATTTTCTGGTTTAATTAACAGTTTCATGCTCACTGAGTTGGGAACTTTTGAATGAGAAGAACGAGCTAAGTTTTTTCTCTCCATCAAAGGAGGTTTAACCTTTGGAGCCAATTTGAGGAAGGAGACTGGTTCTTGGATTTTGTTTTCTTGTTCCCGGATTTTCCTCATAATTCTCGAGCATTCTTAAATTTTATATAGACTCAAATTATTGCTGCTACCACCCCAGGTAACAAAAGTGAGGAATTTTCCCGAGTTTTCCTGTTTTGGTGACGTGACTTGCTTTGAAGAATTTCCGCGAAATTTCTCGAGGACAAGCTTTTGTGAATGATTTCTTGGAAATTCTCGAGAAATTCCACAGAATTGGTCCAAAATTATAGAGAATTTTTGGTAATCATGGATTTCAGACTTAGTTTTTCAAAACAATTATTAAAAATATTTTATCTTATACTTGAAGAGTGTATAAATAAATCGATATTAATGAATTTGTATCCCAAAGTTAAGGATTTTTGACAAAACAAATATATCCAGACATGAAATCATGACGAATCATGAAACTCAATATTTAAAAGAAATATAGAATTACTAAAAATTAATTTAATTCTCTTAATCTATTTCTATTTTACCAGATCAATGTTAACTAAATATATCTAGAATCTCTTGAGATTCTTAGGTTCTAGAAGTAACACTCAGAGATATTCGAAGACAATTCTAGAAAATAAGAATAAACAATAATAAAAATATTCAAACTAATCTTTAAATGATAGGTTATCTCTTTCAGCGTTATTTTCCAATATTTATATAATTCTTATAGTTATCTTTGTTTTTAATAAACTCCAATCCAGGGCAGGAATAAATTCTTCTTCGAATTGTGGTATTATAGTTGAGGGAAGGGGGTCTTGAATCTCTGAAAGGAAAAACTCAAAATAAGATCAAAATAAAAGAATAAAATAGATAATATAGATATACGATACTAGGCTGCTCATCTTCTATTTCAACTTTTATCTGTGAGCATCTTCTCTTTGTACATTAAAAAACAAAACAAAAAAAGTTCGCAGATTAAATGTGTTTTTTTTCGTGGATTTACAAAATTTTAGAAAAATAAAAAAATGTTGCAGACAACTTTAACCTTCTCCTGGGTCATATGGGAGGTCCCACACAAAAAATTTTTCCCAATCGGTTTTGACGTTTATTGGATACAAACGGACAGACAAACACCATGACAGACAATTAATGTATACATTTATAGATAATAGCTCCCGAAAAACATTATTTATGTATAAAATTAAATATATATATATGATTTGTAACCTGATACTAAAAACTAATAATATTACGTCTAAATATACAATATTAATGAATATTTGTATTAAGTCCATGGACTGCAGATGAGTCAATTGAAAAGAATCCTAATCCAAATATCTACAAAGTAAACATATTTTTACAAATATCCTTCTTATTCCTTACAGAAACTGATGTTGTAATTAATTGACCCTTTTTTTAAAGAGGTTCTTGTCCGATGGCACGCACTCCTGACCCATTAGTAAAATTAAATTCAACCTTAAGTCTGACCGCGTCAACCTTGTTGCACCGGCTAGTCCTATTGAGTGTCTGCTGTAATCTATTTACCCAATGTCAGGGCAAGTACAAACTGGGACTGGAAAGGTTGACCCGAGTCGGAATTTCAAATGTACTACGGCTGCCCGTTATGGTATCCTTATCATCTTTATCTGCTCAATAATGTGGTAGATATTGTCTTTTTTTTGGCTTGTAAAGTAGTAAATTCTATTTCTTTCATTATTTCTGTATTTTCAAAAGTCCTTTTAAAAAGAAAATACTTTTTAAACTAAAATCATGGATATCTCATTCTTTCTTGATCAAGAAAAAAGCTTTTAAAGTTTGGTTGTAAATCGGACATGCTACTTCGTAAATAGTTGGTGTAAATTTTGATATTTTCATGCTTTTTTCACCAAATTATGTATCTTTTAATTCTCAGCAAAGTAAGTAAACATTATTTAAGCATATGTTTTTAGTTTACTTTTCCTTTTAAGTTCGTAATTAATATACAACATCTTCATTGGTTTTATTCTTAGGTAACCTGGTTCATGCAGCCAACTAAACATGAACCTAATTAACAAATTAATTATAAAAATAATGAGAAATATGAATGCAAACAATTTTTATCTTGTATACAATATTAAACTAATTATTCTTGATGAAGATACATACATAAATAAAAAAGATATTTTATATTAAAAAAATTAAAGTTTTCTCTCAAGTTTTTTAACATAAGATATAATTTGTGATAAGTGGTCCAGATAGGTGATAGATAGATAGGTGATAGATAGATAGGTGATAGATAGATAGGTGGTCCAGAAAACATTTCTTTCTTTTGGAACATGAAGAATGCAAAAACTACTGACGAGACAATACGTAAACTGTAAAACTAACCACAAGCCGTTTTCAGACTTTTACATTTTTTTGACGTAAAAAGTGTTTAAAAAAATGTGAGTTATGTTAATTGAATATTACCCAAAACGATTTTTCTAAACGAAAACGATTTTCAAATCGTTTAAAAATGGCTTTGGTTAGTATCTTTGGTCAGAATAAAGCTTTAGCACAATGTTCAATAAAAGCATATTTGTGTAACGTGAAATTTTATAGGATTCACATTACAGATTCATGTGAAGCCTGTTAAAGAATCTAAATTGAATGGGTGAATACTGGACTGCAGGTCTTCTAGTTTATCGTAGTGTAATTAATTGAAAAAATTACTTTTTATGAACAAATCAGTTTACCAATTTCAGATAAAAACCAGGATTTTATTTAGTTTACAGTAGTTTATCAGTCCAAATGTTACCTATCCCGCCATTTTGGACCGCCATTTTGTTGTTCTAATTCCGAACTGTAGGTGTACTTCGCACATTTGTGCTTTTTAACCTTTTGGGCACATGAAACATATTTTATAGAAAAAAATATTCTTGAAAATTATTTTATTTTCTCTAAATCAATTCTCGGACAACCTGTCATGCATTCCCGAGTTCATTTCAGAGTAAGCTTTACTTCACATTCCCGAGTTCATCTCAGCATAAACTTTACTTTACATTCCCGATTTCATCTCAGCATAAACTTTACTTAACATTCCCGAGTTCATCTCAGCATAAACTTTACTGTACATTCCAGAGTTCATCACAGCATAAACTTTACTTTACATTCCCGAATTCATCACAGCATAAACTTTACTTTACATTCCTGAGTTCATCTCAGCATAAACTTTACTTTACATTCCTGAGTTAATCTCAGCATAAACTTTACTTTACATTCCTGAGTTAATCTCAGCAAAAGCTTTACTTTACATTCCCGAGTTCATCTCAGCATAAACTTTACTTTACATTCCGGAGTTCATCTCAGCATAAACTTTATAAAAAGAAGAACTTGTAACGGATGTGTCCAGGGATCATACTGTATTATCGGTCCAAATGTTCCCAACTCCTCTCTCGAAGTTTAAATTTTTTATCAGAAGTTCAGAGGATTCTCCTCGAACCCTTCTAATCTCTAGAGGATTAAAGTTGAGAATGTATATGAGGATAAACGCTGGGATGTATTTCAGGGGTCCACATTTATCAGGAAAAAAAACAACTTTAACAATTTTCAAGGATTCAGACTAGATTTTCCAATCGAGTTTTTTGCACGAAAATCATGAAATAATTGCTGTTTTCCTACGTCCCGAGTAAAAATTACACAATATTTCAAATTTTTGCGCAAAAGGTATTGAGCGCAGATTCTGAAAATTTTCGTATGTTTTTTTATTTCGATATTTTAGACCAAATATTTGTAAAAGAAATAACAATGTTTGCTACTTTCTTTTTGTCTGAGAAGAGAAGTGAAGTTTGAGTTTATAAATGTTATTCGAGTATTTTGTCTCTAAATGAATGGGAAAAAAGATCATAATTCTGAGTTGTACATATTTTAAAGCAATAGCTTGCCTTAAATCTATACTTTAAGTAATGCTTACTTCTTTGTTCATTCGTTAAAAAAAACTGTATAATTAGAAACTAAAGACAGATTATGTTACCCCAAGAATGGTTTATAAAATTAGACGAAGATTTTAATTAGCAGGGATTAAATTTGGTAACAGAAATTTAAAAAGTATCCCTATTCCCTACATTTATATTTATTTAAAAAAATTGTCAAGAATTCAAACTTTCTGATTTTTTTACTAACGAAATATATTTATTTAGCTGGAGATTATAAAGATGAAAGCTGGCGGTTGTATCTAAATGAACATAAAAAGAGCACAAGTCCAAATTATTTTTAAAAATCATATCCTAGAAAATACTGAAAACTTAGCAGACCGTAAGGAATTTTCTGTCACTACATATTTCTTGAAATTTGCATAATATTTGAAAAATGTTAATTGCATAGCTGAAATACTGCGCAACTGCACTGCTCACTGAATTAAAATATATAGAAGTTTAGATCTTAGTTACTCTCTCTTGTAAAATTGGAGCACAGGAAATTGAGCCTTTGCCAAAGAATCAATTTTTCTAATGTCTATATCTTTGTAACCTAATGCTGTAAACTTTCGATATTTTTAAACTTACTTTTTGAACCAGCAGAATTCATAATTTAACATAGCTAAGATCGACGACGTGACGTTAGGATGCAAAGAAATAAAGATTCTAAAATCGAAGTTTGTTTCCAAGAATCAATAAATAGATTTTATAAAATCTTTTCATAATCTACCAGCTTATCTTTAAATATAAATATGTTGACGAATAAAACTCTGATATGAAGATACTGAGAACATGAAAGCTTTTGAAGTTAATTGGGTAAAAAATAAAATTGAATAGATGGAAAACTGTCAATGGAAATATTTTATTTTATTTCTCATTTTTCTAAAATCAATATTTTGATGATTTTCTAAGAATAATAAAAAATAATAGAAAAAAATATTTTTTTCTCAAACTCAACTAAAGGATTTAGAAAATTCTTTAAAATTAGAATTGAAAGTATATTAAAGTGATACAAATTGTCTATACACTATGCAATATACAGAGGTTGTCGAAAACCGAATATAAGAACTTTAACTATAAACATTGTTTTTGAAATGTAAGAATTGTTATGTACTGCACAGATTGTTCATGTATTTTGCATATTGTTAATGAAATGAATATATTGTTCATTTTTCTGTTCAGATTTCTCAAGTAGTATACAATTTATTCATGTATTTTACATATTGCTTACTCAAGGCATGCACAAATTGTTCAATGTATATTATTCCCGGTCTGAACAGTATGCCCGGAATGTACAGTTTGCTTGGTATGTACAGTATGCCTGGTATGTACAGTGTGGCTATTATGTACAGTATGCCTGGTATGTACAGAACACCCTAAGCCCAAAACTTAAGTCAGGGTATCG